ACACACACACACACACACACACACACACACACACACACACACACACAATTCGAGAACCTTTATCTACTATATTACATCTCATTATATTGATATAATACATCTATTATAATATTATTTAATAATAATAAATTAATACTACTTAATAATAAATCTGTATTATATATTACTCTGTACTAAATAAATGAAGACAATAATAACTAAATGAGTCTCAGACATAAGCTTTGTTATAGCCTCAATCACGCTCAGCGCACACTATTGTGAATTTTCTGAATAAAACAAGCATACCTAACCATACTAACTTAAACTGCCTTATTACGTTTATTTATGTATAGTAAAACTTTAAAGAAATTAATATGGTTTTATGTGAAACATTCCGTAAACATATTATAGTCAAATGTGCACATACACTAAATATTGCTCGTCGAGACAGGTACAGATTGTGTTGTAATTTTTTTTTCATAGCCTTTATCATAAACTAGGGATACCCTGAGTCGCAAGTGGTATGGATACAAACACAGACAACCACAAATTACACCCAAATTTACGAAAAAAAGAAATTAACAATTATTAGTAATTCTCTTTTACTTACTTTTACTAATTTTTGATGTGAAGAACATCATGTCTTCACCTCCTCTGACATTGCTAGACGTTGGTTTGTAGTACTCTATAGCCAATTGGTTAGTGGCAACGCTTTCTGAAAAAAAAAAAAAAATAATTTCATAACATCAAAATTCTACACTGTATTTCTAATTAAAATTGCAATAACACTAATCAAATTACTTTCAATTCTCAAGTAGCCAATGCGTATCTTGGATGGTAGAATTTACATTTATTGCAAAGAATGCAAGAAATGTAAACGGACTAGTCTCGTCATTCTACTCGAATGAATATAGTTACAAGTAGTAATTATAACACACGACACGCATAGAAGCAACACAAAAGTAATAAATTACAATATACTAGTAAGTAACTTACTCAGGTTGAGTATTGGTCGCGAGTACACCGGTGAGCAAATTAGTTCATTCGTATCATAATCGTGAGCGCTGAATTTCAGTCTTACGACGTTCAAGTCAATGTTCTTTGCCATCACTCTGCTTTGCTCCAAGAGCTATTAAAAATCCAAAATTAATATAAATCGTGCATGGTCCAGTTTATTATTTATTCTTTAATCATTTACTAACTGGAAAGAGTGTCGAATCCAAACACTACATCGTTAATCATACAGTTGGTCGTAGGTGTGGGGTAGACGTATTATGTATACAAAGTACTTTTGATTTTCTACCACCGACAATGTCTGTGTTCTCAACACTTAAAGTAAACTAAATGAAATATGTATAAACGTACCTGGTTGTCGGTAATTTGGTCACTGTTGTTTTCTCGAAATTTTGTGAACAGCCACATGGGTATATCCTTTTTTGGACGATGTATGATACCCAAGCCCGCAAAACTAAGAATGATAAATAATGAACATATTGTTAGTTTTGAAAAACGAACGGTTGTTGCCATTCGCATAAGATTGTCATATTTGAATTCATCGAATACAACTACATATCGTGTAGGTATTTCAAAATAAACTTACCTAAACATTGACCTAACTAATCTACATTTTGCTACACTACCTAACAGATAAAACCGGCTACCTTCCAGTTCAGTTTCATATGGATGTGCTTTAAAACACAAGGGGTCCATTTGTCAATTGTTGAAAACAAGCCAAAGGATCGAATGAACTTGGGATGCTTATTTCATCGTCAATTATCCTAGATTCAGAAGTAATGTATGAGACCAATCCAATTGCAGAAGTATTCGGAGGTATAAAATATCGTTGGTTTTCTAGAATAGCGGCCCATCTCAAAAATATGTAATTCATCAGGAAGACAGTTTAAAAAGAAACTGAGGCGTATGTCACGCGCAAAGACGACGAATTATACATTGGCTCAAAACAAACTCAGTGTCTTATTCACAATAAAATTTAGCACATTCTGAATACAATACAAATTTTATTTAGGCTACTGTTCTTGAACAGCAGCTATAAGCGGCGGGTTTTTTTGAAAACTATTGTGTCCCAGCCTTAAAAATAGTTTTTGTAGCGTAAAAAATAGAATAAACGTCAACTGACCCCACTGCGTAGTGATTATCAACAGGTACGACAGCGGAACACGGCTGGCCCTCATTCACTTCGTCCTCGTCGTGCAAACTGTGTGGGTGCTCGTCAGTATTGTCCTTTTGCACCAGGGTACACATTATTCTTGCCTTTTTCGTGTAGTTTCTCAACTAAAGTCACGTATCACAAAAGACAAAAGTTAATAAACGTAAAACCACAATCACAATATAGACCGGGGTCGATTATCATCATATAATCTGTGGTTACTAATGATTGCTAATACTTGGTACTTGGTACTTGGTGTAACGGGCTGGTGTCCGCAACTCGACGACAAGGCGATGATTGCTAATATATCATATTAGTAATCAGTTTTTTTATTCTTTTCCATAAAAGGTAATTCAAGTTAGAATTTCTCTTTTTGTTTTTTTTTTTTCTTCTCAGTGTTTGTGTACAGTTCTAACGTAAAATTTAACTGTCTAACTTATCTGTGGAAACTTGTAATTGCCATTAATATTTATTTTTGTAACTATTTATACATATACGCTGTTGGTTTCCCTAAAAATGTTACAAAATAATAATAATAAAAAATAAAATCACTTCCAGAAATACACGTAAGTATATTCAAGTCCAAAATGAAATATATTTTATGGGCTTTATCTTAAACAGTTAAGCTACAATAACGTTATAAAGAACATAAGGAAATGTGGTTCTATCGACCTCATACCTAGATCATTTGAAACAGTTCGAGGAGACAATTTTGATACTCTAAAAACTTCGGAACAATAGGAATTCTTTAGTCAATCTTAGTAGTTTTCATATATCTAAGAGTATTTAATGATATCGCGGAAATTCTGCTACCGTAACATACTTAAATATTTCTGAATGCGTGAACGTAAAAAAAATATTTATTAAGTTAGTGTCCTTAATTTTATTAATCGCTGACATTCGATGTAATCAACATAGTTATATGTATGTTAGTGAGGCCCACAGGGAGGCTAGGCTTTGTTATTAGAATTGGATGCTGTGTGGTTGCCCCACAGGGGGTATGCATATAACGCGATGTGCCCTAGTCGAAAAATATTGAAATCCAAACTAAGGTGAGTTTAAAGCATCAAGAACAAATAAAAATGGATTTACTCGCCACGCATCATGGCAAAAACGATTTCCGCAACTTTTGGAAGCACACCAAGAAAATGGAAGCAAGGCCTGCTCTCTTTCAGTGTCGATGGTATATCTGACCCAAAGGGCATAGCTAACATGTTTAGAGAACATTTTAATGTGAAATCGTCTATTGGCAAAAGCATCGGGAGGCGAGTGCCCGACGGCGAGTATGGAAGTGACCTTCATATTCGTTTTGTAGCGAAAGACGTAGTTAAAATATTGAAGGAAATTAAACGCGAAAAGTCTCCTGGTCATGACCACTTAAGTGTCGAGCATTTGCAGTTTGCCGGGCCGCACTTGCCTAGAGTGTTATCTATGTTTTTTTAACCTGTGTATTGGACACGTATATTTATTTGCCTATGTTTATGACGAAAACTGTGGTGGTTCCTATCGTCAAAAATAAAACCGGTGACATATTTGACAAGACGAATTACACACCTATTTCTCTGGCAACAATTGTTGCGAGGGTTCTTGACGGCCTGCGTAACGTGCAATTTGACAAATGCTTAAAATTACACGATGCTCAGTTCGGTTTCCGTGCTGGTCTATCAACAGAGATATATGATATATATACATATGATCGCCCGATCATATGTTTGAGGCAAGCTGTTGAGTATTACACTCGCCTGTATAGCGTGTTTTTTAGATCTTTCCAAAGCATTTCATCTCGTCAATTATGACTTACTTTGGAAGAAGCTTGACGAGTTTAAATTCCTAAGAAACTCGCACGAATATTTAAAAAAGCGAATTCATAATTTTTAAGGCAGGAAGTAAGTGTCCATCTCATGTTCCTCCCATCCTTCTTAATGGTCAACAACTGAACAGGGTGACCTCTTTTAAATATCTTGGGCACTAAGTAGCCGACGATTTATACGAACGAACGAAGAGCTTTAGCGATTAGACCCAATATGATAGCGCGCAGGTTCAGTCGATGTAAAGCACAAGTAAAAAATGCATTATTCAAAGCGTACTGTACATCGTTGTATACTTGTAGTTTGTGGAGCGGGTACACCCAACGCTCTCTTAACGCAATGCGTGTTCAGTACAATGACGCCTTCAGGGTTCTGTTGCGGCTGCCACGTCACTGTAGCGCGTCCGAGATGTTCGCGGACGCGAACGATGATGATTTCTGTGCGTCATTGCGTAAGCACTGCGCAGCGTCAATGCGCAGCAGGTTGCGCGCCAGACGCCACAGACTACTGAACGTTGTGGCTTATAGATGGGACAGTGGTCTCTTAAGGCACTGGTCCTCTCTACATTTAAGTTTACGTACTAACATAATTATTTAAGTTTTATAATACTAACATAGTTAAATAAGTTTTTGTAATACTAACATAGTTATAAAAGTTTTGTATTACTATCATTCTATGGATCTTTGTGTTATCTGAAATAAACTCGTTTTATTTTTAGTTTTTTTATTCTTTTATTCTAAAGTTTTAATATGTATCTTGAGATAGAACGCAATGTAATGGTACTTACTATGAGTAATATTAATTACTGACTACAGTCACATACAAAAGTGTTCATTTCAATCATATCAATATGATTCAATTACAACGTTAATAGGTACTCTGTACTCGTAACCCTGATTTGTGAATACTTCTCTGTTTGGAATGCAATAGATAGTAAAATGTGTTTTTTATGGTCTAAAGATGGTACTAAAGTTGTTTTATTATTTTATAACTGAATATTATATTATATCTAATTTTTTATGCGCAAAATTTGAAACACCAGCTAACGTTTGTATGAATCGAATGCAACGGATCACAAAATTCTAACACGACCGATAGAGCAAATGATTGCTGAATCCCACGCATTTAGAGATGTTACATCCGCCACCAATATTAACGATAAATGGTGGTGGTGGCACCATTATCGTTAATATTACTTAGTATTGCGAATACTACTATTTTGCAGTAAGCATACAGCGACGGATAGAGCAAGCGAAAATTTAATCATAAATAAAGCATCTTCAAAACAATTTTTTGACGTAAGCAAATGGGTGCTTTATTCGTGACAAAGTTTCGCTTGCCGTCGTTGTGTGTACTAAATAATTTACTTCTGAATCGTATTATTCCGCAATACTGCGTTATTGTATAAAAGTAGCGATAAGTTTTAATCATACCCAGTCTAGCCTAATATGATATGGTCCACAATACTGAAGACTGACACGACATCGACCCTCAACATGTTGTGGAATTTAAAAAAGAAGTAATATCAGAAAGTAACAACAATAACATTAAAACTACAAATCATATCATTGTCATTTGCAGTTTGGTGACTTTCGAGATAGTGGCACTTAAAGTATTTTTCTTTGAAAAAAAAAAATTTTTTTAACTGACACTAAAACTGAAAATTTTTTTTTATAATATCAAGTGACGGGACGAACAAGTCGTGCGCCTGGTGGTAAGCGACACGTCAATCCAAAACAGTTGAAGTGCTACTCAGAGCTTTAAAACGCAAAGATCTTAGGGGCACTGCCGCTGCGCCATTCACCCTGAGACATAACTTGACAAGTCCCATGTGCCTGTAATTTCACCAGCACCCTTGCCCTTCTAAGCCGGAACGGCGGCAGAAATAGGCAAGGTGGCACTTCCCTGGACGAACTGTCTCGCAAGGAGCTGTACTGTTACTAAATAAGATATAAAAAAGCCGCTTGCAGGAGTTGTACATGTATGTTAGTAGCTCAATTAAAAAAAAATTGAAACTGCATCTGGCCGAACGGTTACGAGAACGGTCAGGAGAAAAATTTGTATGACCTACAATTATTTCTCTCGTGAGTTACAATTATTTCTCTCGTGATAAAATTCCAAGTTAGTTTACCTCAACGGTCGGGTATGACTTGCTCCCATTACGGCCAGGCGTAACTCCTCGTAGACTGCCATGAGTGCCTGTCTCCCTCTCAGTTTTGTATCGGAACCTTGCATCTTGTGGTTCATTTGTAATTCGTAGATTCGGCTCCCCTAGATTTTGACACAAAAATTCCTACTGTAGGACACATCTAGTTTACATTGTTAAAACATGGGTTGAAATGACGACATATTGCATACTTCAGGGTAAGACCCTACATACCAATTATGTGGTAAAAAAACAAATGTAACTTACTTCTATGTCTGTATTGGTAAACATTTATATGGAAGTTACTTATGACATAGCTACAGGTTGTGACTACACAAACAGTTAAGTGTATATTCAAATTAGACTATGCGGCGTGTTTACCTAGTGTCGTCGTGTATATAACCAGAAACAGAGACGAAATAAGGGCCATCCATCTCTGGCAACTAACTCATCAGGCAAATGGGCCTTATATTACTTTTAAATATCAATTCTCGTTTGCGCTGAAATCACAAATTAGAAAGCTGAAATAATGCAGCGCCAACAACTGACCTGTGTGTAGGTCTCGGTATATTCCAAAAATATTCTGTATTTATTGTAATAAAGATAATAATAGTGGACAATATAATATCACTAACAATGTGGGGCTGTTCCATTCCGTTTCTTTTGTAATTAGATGTTTTGCTGTTTTTCCCACACAGACAGCAAAACATCTAATTACAAAACACCGAATTATATTTCATCAGTAATTAAATATGTAATTTTTAAATTTTCGTCCATTATAGCAAAGTTCAACTTAAACTTTTGAAGTGAAACAATTGACGACACCCGTCGATTGTTCGAATTCGGGCTGGCCAACGGAGCGCAGTTGTCACTGTAATGATTTGGCAGAATAGTTTTCAAACATATTAAATGACATTTCGTCTCTATTTCTGGTTATATACTCAATGCCTAGTGTATTGTACCCAAAACTTTTTGCTCAATTTACTTAGTAATCTTACCGAGCGGTGAACAGCGTGCGGTTAGGTATTTATGTGGTGGTAGTCAAACTTGAGCAAGCGGTCATATTTTATTGTCCCCTTCATAATTACGCGGTTGTGGCACAACAGTTCTTTATGATACCATTTTTTTATGATTTTTTAGAAGCAGTAGAGCTCCTTGTGAAAGAGTTCGTCCAGGGAAGTACTCCCACCTTACCTATTTCTGCTGCCAAGCAGTAATCTGAGCATTACTGTGTGCCGGTTTTTAAAGGTAAGGGTGCTGGTGAAATTACAGACACATGGACTTGTCAACTTATATCTCAGGGTGACGGGCGCAGTGGCAATTCCCCTCAGATCTTTACAATTCCAAGGTCTGAGTGGCACTGCAACTCTTGTGGACTGGCGTGTAGCTTACCATCAGGCGCACAATTTGTTCGTCCCGTCACTTAATATTACAAAAAAATAAATTACGACGAACAAATCGTGCCGCCTGGTGGCAAGCGAGACGATTATCCATAACAGTTGCAGTGCCACTCGGAGCTATAAATCACATAGATCTGAGGGGCAATGCCACTGCGCCCGTCACCTTGAGACATAAATTGAAAACTCCCATGTGCATGTAATTTCACGAGCACCCTTACCCTTTAAAACCGAAAGCAATGCTTTCATTATTGCTTGGCGGCAGAAATGGGTAAGGTCGCAGTACTTTCGTTGAACAAACACTCACAAGGAGCTCTGCTGCATCTAAATATAAATAAAACTAAATATATCAAAATAGCGGTGTCTGATTTTGTTTTCTGAGTAGATACCTCATATATGTATGCTCACGCTATACGACGATCACCATTTAGCTCGATCCTAGCAAACCTCCCTTGCCTCACTAACATTCATCAATATTTTCATACAGGCCCTCTTATTGTTATCACTATGCACCCCAGCTTTTTTAAGGGCACTTTCAATTTGATCTGCGAAAGTTCTTCGTAGCCGTTCTCTTCCAAAGTTGCCTTCCACGTTAGTTCTATGTGTATATTTCTTTCGTTAAAATACATTCATTCATCCGCTCCATGTGCCCTGACCACCTCGGGATTTTTTTTCTATTTCTGTCACTACACCGACTTTCAAACCACATCGTTCACGGATCACAATATTCACTCTGTCACATACCTATCCGCACATTACATGTTTTTCTGAGGGATCTCATTTCAACTGCATTCACTGTACTCTCGTGCTTCTTCTGCCATACCCAAAACTCACTCCCATATTTTAGCGTTGGAACCATCACAGCATTATGTACCACTACTCGTGCTTTCTCAGACACACATCACTGCCTTTATAGCCCCGTTCTTCGCATTTGCTATTACTGCCATAAGGTTAATTTTATGAATATCGTTGTATTCAACGTTCTCGTTACGTTTAATCCAGACTTGGCACCGCTTATTCGTGACTTCTTTACAACAGTTCCGTTTGTTTACAGTGTGTATACATTTGTTACCTAGCTAAAGCAGCTATATTTGTGAGTTGAAAACGTGCAGCTAGAGTGAATCCAACAGAGACCACCAAAAGACTAGCTGCAGACAAAACCGGCGACATAAAGAACGATGGACGACAGTACTGTCACATATGGATGAGCCTTATCGACAATAATGCAACGGAATGAAGCAACAGCACAAAGTATTAAACTAAAAAGTAACTGAAAACCTTAGGAAGCACCTATAAAGTTGGCGTGAACAGAAATAACAGCTAATTATAAATAGTACAGATTATTACTTAATGGTGTAATACATTGAGATTTAGTAATAATTATATGTATTACATCATTAATATTATCAATATCATTATAATCCACTTAAGAACTAAGAAACAACGTTGGGCTGCAACTGAAACTACACAACTGTCCATAATTTTTTTCTTGAAAATTGTGACTTGCGTCACTTAAAACAAATAAATATACGAATAAAAAATTTGTAGAAATTTGGTACAGTTTAACCTGCGGCTGAATGTACTTACTTATAATAATATAAGATAACGGACATTAGGATTCTAATATAGGTACTGATTTGAATATAACCACTTGGTTAGACCATACCATCTGTAACATAAAAACTACCTTTTGTTGCCTCTGCCATGCTCATTTCCTCAGGATCATTTACAATTTATAGGTATTTAACTAAATACTCGACAGATTAGATGATTATACAATAATTTATGATATGTACGTCAGTCAAACAACTTAAATTTCACTCAAAAGTATGTGACGATGATGTGACAAGGATGAATGGAATGACTATAATGACTAATCGAAGAATAAAGGGACTGAAATCGGCCCAAACAACATGGCGGAAACATTTGCAATGCGCTCGCGCATTACAGTAACAGTCAGTAAAAAATGTTGTTTCTCACAAAATTAGGCAAGATGGCGCAATTCTCAATAGGTTGAACTCGAGGCTTTGACAAAGAAAAATTTAGGAAAAAATATAGTTTATGAGTTACCGTAGTACTAATGAAAACCATGGATACCATACCGTGCAAAGATATATCCATATTTATCGGTGAATGATATGGCACGGTAAGCTGCGGTACCAATTGCGATGGGGGCGAGTAAGACGTATCAGACCCACTTGAAATGTTCGCGTCCGCACTCATATCTTCATCACTTCCAGACATTTTTATAAACTTTATACTTAGAACAGAAATAAGTACGTATCTCCTTTTTAGTTTAACACTTCACTATTTCAATAAACTAGTACGAACGTTTTACAATTCACTTCTCAATCGCAATGTTTACTGCGCGAATTTTCTTTGTTTCACATGTATAGTACTTTATTATCTGACCTTGTACGTGCCAGACAAAACTAATCAATATTGGATTTTATGTTCAGTGAGTAGATTGCACTTTGGAACGTCAGAGCTTATCATACATAATAACAGTTGCCATTATGATACATGTATTTCCTGATTTCTTGCTGTATATACATTGCCTTTTTTTTAATATTTCTTTGATTTTATCTTGATTTTCGGGTGTAAATCATTATTATTTATAGCGTCTCAAGAAAATTAAAAAGAACATTAATGCTTTACTCAAAAGACAAGAGCATACCAATCCATTTAGATTAAAAAAATGTACTGAACAAAAAAATTATGTAAACGAATTATTTCCTTATCCTGATAATTTTCCTATTAGGAAAGCACTGTACGGTTATATGATTAATTTCTACTAACTATAAACGCGCGTATGTATCGCGCATTTTGATAAATGATAGTTTTAATGTTAGTTTTGTTTGTTAATTTCAGTAATTTTTTGAAATGAAGCAACTACATGAAATTCTATAATAAGATTCTTGCTTGCAATGCGATGTTTGCACGCGTTTGAATCGATTCACTGTAGCGCAGCTACGGCGATATTATACGCGCTGCGGCACGTATAAAATACGTCGTGTGCAAAGCGCTTAGCTTTAACCCAGATATAGGGAAAATTTATATATGCGGTATCACTAACTTTTTTGTGTAACGGCTACCCCAAAGAATTCAATTTCTGAATGTTGGCACTGTGTATGAGGGAAATTACCGTCACGTCTATTTTTGTTCAAGGCCATCGACCTGCGATTCACAATAACAATTATTGTGCCTCGGAAAAATAAATATAAGTTTATTAGAGAAGGGTGGTTTTTAGTGTTTATTGTGTAGTGTAATTACACTGGTAGACCAGTAAACAAACAACAATGTAATTATACTTATTTTGTATGCTGATGGAAGAATAATATTTATCGACAAATCTGATTAAAAATTACTTTGTGCTCCTGAAGTTTCTGTACTTTAAGGTATTATACGTCAACAGTACATCATACACATTGACGTATCTTGTTCCGTAGCACTGGAGGCGATTTTTCGCGAACATCATACTATTAACTAACACTATAAATGTTGTGCACGATACCAACGAGTAGTTGGAGCGCCGGCTTACAAGAGGTTAGTTCAATCTCAAGAATCATTGAATCTAGCTTAAATATGATTGCGTCGGAAAAGGTACCGAATTACTAATTAGAACTATGCAAAAGGCATCTTTGGATAGCCAAGCCAAAAATTGTTCCTTGTAACAAACAATTTCTAAACAAATAACTAACAAATAATTTCTAAAACTATTTCTTTTCTGTTTCGGATCATATCAAACCTAAAACGGCCTATTGGCATTGGCATGGCAGTCCGCCGCGCAGGCAGGAGACTGCTCACACACTATCCTACATATGGCCCACTTATGAAATCTTGCAGGTTTGCGGGATTGCTTGTACGCTGTGACTAACTACATTCATAATCCTGCATTACCCGGCGGACGGACTGCATTGCAGGATAATGAATGCCCCCTTTTAGAGCAAGTATCGAACTCGTCATCAGAGTCATTCATCACAATCACTCTAGGTCACAAACTGTCTCTTCATTCATTCCTTTCGTCGATGCGTTGTACGTTACTGAAGGTTAGGTAGGTATTCAATTAGTAAAGACACAAATGATTAGCTGTCCTTGTTACACTTTATGAAACGAAAACTAAAATTATGCATCTGAGTACTTACAGAAATATAATGTTAAATTCTGAAGTCTGTTTATATACTGCCTATTCTGAAATTTTTGTAAATAAAACTTATACTCATCTATGCATCAAACACTACTTACTTACTTTTGGTCAAAGTCACTTGCTCCAGTTTTTTTTTTTAATTCTATGCTTCACAAAAATTATGCCATATGATGTTACCAGTTAAGATATTGATTATTGTTAGGTAACCATAATTACACATTGGAAAATATTCAAAACCTTTCACCATGTTACCAGTTAAGATATTGTTTATTGTTAGGTAACCATAATTACACATCGGAAAGTATTCAAAACTCGTCACCACATTGAGTCCATCTGTTGATTACAATTTATTTAAAACAATTCTGATTAGTAAGTATATTGGTAAGCAGCAGTCCTAGCTTCTTGCTTGTCTCGTGTAGGTCAGGAGCCGTACATACAACTTACTGACTGTGATGGCATCATATCAATTGATAAATCTATGGCTTTTACTCATTACTACTACGAGTACTAACATTGTACTATACTATTATATGATATGGGGTCCTTTAAACAAGCTGTCAAGTGGCATTGTGTAGACATGCAGGGTGGAGACGGCTAGGGCAGTTATTGTATTAACATTGCACTAAATTCCTTCAAGTTTATACTCCACTTTCCAATTTACATAAAGTAGAATTAAGTCATCAGCCTGTCATGTATAAAAAAAGAAAACAAAAAATTATGTGAATGTAACAATATTATTTTTTTTAACTCGCTTGTAGTGGAAACCCTACTACATCTTTCTAATTTGTGGTGTAAACTTATTAACTTATTTAGAGTTAACTTACCTAAAGTGTGAACATTATCTTCGTATGGATATAACCATGTCATCACCAATGCATATAAATTTTTTTTCTATTTATTCTATAAAAATTCCAAAATATATGTGTATTTTTTAAAAGGCTAAACTATTTAAATATGTATAAGTACCTATAGAAACACAATTACTATATTATTTTTTGAGACAATAATTTTTAGCAAATACTTAATAGAAAATAGTAGACTTAAATTTTAATAAGTAATATGCATATTCAAATATAATCAGTTCTGAGCGAATCCCGGGATTTGTAAAGTACTCCCTCAAATTTCATCATTTGTTAGTTTCCTTAACTTAGAACAACTAATTACTAAATATGTCCCTACAAAATTTATGGTAAAAAGTTTTTTGCGATTTCTGACATTTCGAGTACTCTTACCTCTGTTGGTCCCACGATTGAGACTACCATTTTGGTACTATGCAATGCTTTTATAAACTGTATATGTACTGCTTATTGTAAAGAAAAACAAATTACCTCTTTTTAAAATTATATTTTTTTGTAAAAAGGCAATACGAATACAAAAATAATTGACATAAATTGATTAACAATAAGGCACATGGGATTCTTGTTTTCTCACAAAATAAAGAGATTCAATTTTAATAAACAACAAACATGATTCATAGCAATTTTGGAAGACATGAGAAAGAAACATTACATATTTTCTCCATCTAGTGCAAAGTGCCAAGTATAAAAAAGTGTACTTGGCACTTTAATATTGGAATGTTTCATATCACAATAATAAATCTTAGCTTAATCTACCAGAGTATATATAAAAATGTTAATGATATATAATTATTATTAATCATAATTATGACAATAAGATCCTGAATAGGTGGCTCTAGTACCTAAATTTAAGAAATCATCAATGTTTGTGCGTTAAAAATAAACAGTTCTTTAAAATTCTGTAATATGACTAAGGTAAAAATATAACTTGTTAGCTAGTACACAATTTATATAAGGAGTTAGTGATGGAAAAGCCTAAGATTGGTGTGGGCCAAAACAATCTTGTGCTCATTGCAGGCCTGGATCACTTCTTGGTCGTTGTTGGATCCAGATGGACTGCCTATGTATTGCACTCCACACTGTAATAAACAATGCAATGATGTTATTAAAACTGTGAAAATATCACTTACAAATTGAAATGAAATATTACAGACACTAAATAGTTTTATTTTTCATAAATCACGATTTGTTTAATATTTTTACAATGTCTTTAGTCAAATCTTCTAAAAAAAGACTTCAACAGCTTCCGAAGCGAAAGCAGCCATATTAAAATCACTTTTTAAGTATTGCAAAAATTCGTTCGTTAATCTCTCAAGTAGCTGGCAATACTGATATTGGCCCGTACGTAATTTGTTCACCTGATGTAATTGTAATAATGTTCATCAAAATTGTTACTTCCAATCTACAGATACTAGGGATGACTCCCGAAATAAGAGCCAGATTATTAGAGAGGGGAGTCAATATATTTTTATTTTTTACGTATATTTCCCCAAGGTGTTACAACTGTTGCGTAATCATATTAAGTATATTATCACAGTTCGATAAAAGTTGTTGTTTTGGCGTTATTTTGGATTTACGATACCACAGCACTGATAAAATGATAAAACTGATTCATGTACAGGATTGTATAACTTTTTGAATGAATTTTAATTACAATACAAGTTGTGTACCTACACATAATTGTGGGATCAATCTCTAAGTTTTATGTATCTATATGAATATGTATTTTTATTATTTTTCTATTAATAAAGAAGGAATTTGAACGTATCTGTTACTTGGGGATGGGTGTTTAATAGCTGCGACATGTCGACTACATTGTAGTTAATATCAAGCTAATATTTACTATGTAAATCCTGTATTTTGTTGGAAATAAAAAGTTTTAAAAAATGTTAATTGTGTTTTCTTTGTTTTGTACTGTCTTACGTATCTGTCCAAACAAACGCACGCACAGTCAAGAGCACATCAAGTTTGATACTTTGGACTTTAGTCCATTCTTATTGTAATCATCACCAAGTTGAATTTAAATCTTGCTTGACGTGCTCTTGACATTGTACCTGTAGAATTATGTAAAAGAATGAAAAACGACAGAAAGTGCACGAATTATGCCTAGTCTTTTGCACGTAACGTAATATAACGTCACGTCGTGGTCCCAGTGGAGTGAATGTACCATTGTATAGTACTGTGCCATAGTAAATATGTAAATGTATACAAATATGTATGTACAAAGAACAACCCCTAAGAGTTTTCTTTCTTGCTTTTTCGTTTCAGGTGAATCTGCCTTACGAATAAATAGTAGATATATAGTTTAATCAATATGACGATTTTAAGTGTAATTTCTTACCTATGAAATAATGATTATTTGACTTTGATGCGTCATCGTGTGTGCGTTGTTTCTCTAACTAACAAGTCACCCTGCAAACTCACCTGTACGGCTCTATCGACATTGTCTCTGAAGGGGAAGAAAGCGTCCGAAGCAAGAGCGACTTTGTCCAACCTACGCAGCCAGTCAGCGCGTTCTTGTTCCGTTAGCAAAGAAGGCGGCGCGCCTTCGAACAGCTCATTCCATTGCTCCAGCGGCATGTCCGTACCTATACAGATATTTGTTATAAGGTGATTTAACTTTATACGATGCAACCTGGCTTAGGTTCAGGCCCGCCATTTTGTTTTACATGTATGGAATATTTTTTAATGTAAAAATTCTATAAAAATCCTATATAAAAATGCATTTGACTTTGCGCATGCAATGCTTTTTTGTTGACTTAGAACTTTCTATATAGTGGGTGTTCTCCGAAAAATTAGTTATCAAAGTTATAATGGAAATGTAGCGCTCACCATCTATACTGTCAGTATCCCAAGGGTTTTTTATTATTATTCATTTGAAATATATAATAGTAGTTTCCAGAATAAACATAATGTTGTGACCTATATTAATTAAACTGCTTACAGAGGTATCCTACATTTCGAAAAAGAACATCAGCATGACCAAGGAACGCTATATTATGTTTCTTCTTATGACAGTCAGAAAAGCGGGAGAGAAATTTTAAGGGACCCCATATACACGACGATTCTACGTCTCTCATAGTTTTAAAACGCAAAGATCTGAGGGGCACTGCCACTGTGCCCGTCACCCTGAGACAAAAGTTGATAAGTACCATGTGCCTGTCTGTAATTTCACCAGTAACGCAGTAATGTTCATATTACTGCTTGGCGGCAGAAATAGGTAAGGTGGCAGTACCTACTTCCCTGGGCGAACTCTTTCACAAGGAGCTCTACTGTTATTACAGGGAGGGTCACTATAATCAAATATTCATATCTTATATAAGATATGAGATTGTTCCTTAAACAAGGTAAATTTTATAAATGCTGACTGACTAGTGAGTTTCAATAGTGAACCTTATTTGCGAGAGTCTGGTGCCTGAGATAGGCATAGAAAATCAGGTCCCCGTTCCGCGAAGTGTATTACAAATAACGTTAAACTCAATTTTACATCTATTAAGTAGGTACAGTAAATCAACAGTAAAAATGAATTGTGATCAATTACTTACTTTTATAATTTGCAAAATTAAATTACTACAATTTTTTGGAAAGGATGAGTATTAAGATGCAAGTTCATAAAAGAAAATAACAAAAGTAAATAAATTTGTTAGTGTAGTTAGGTAAAAGAGAAGTTGCGAAAGTGTGCTTCTCTGTGTTGTATTTATATTTTGGTGGGTAAGTGTATGCGCGATGCTTTGATTATAACGTGGGATGCAAAAGGTTTTCAGTCTTGTCATAGTCCAATGACTTAAGCCAGTTTACCATGCCTCGCTTACAGTCAGTTCTTGGTCGGTGATATATTGTTACGTTGTTATTGACTTTATTATACAGGGTGTCTATTACCTTTGGACGCGACTGTCTTTTTGTATCCTTCTTTTTCTTTTTATTATCTTAAATCAATCTGCTTTTTAATGAGCTAAGTATTAAATGAAATTCCTCACTAAAAGTTATTTTAAAAATATCAAGAAGTATGAAAAAAAAGAAAAAGATAGAAAAAGACTATTATGTTTAAGTGCAGTCGCGTCCAGCAGAGGTGTAAAAACGTAATAATCGTAATGTGTGTAAAATCCTTAATTTAAAAAAAACCGTTAGGTATATTACCATAGTAACATAGGCTTTGACGTCGACTTAATAGTCACCCTGTATATTGGGGCCTTGAGAGGTGCGAAGTCTTCGATCCGCAACAGGCCATAGTGGTTGTCTAAAAGAGATCGTTACCCAGATGTGTGTATGACTGACCGATAGTACCGCTGACGTAGTTGTCGATGGCGTTGGAGCGAACGGCGCGGGAAACTTGCGACTTGAAACGCATGGTAGTGGCGCGAGGGTGCCAGCGCAGCCACCACAGTGTCGCCTTGCCGCCCGCCAGGCGCGTGCAGTGGATGCGCGACTGCTGCCCCGCGCCTATGCCGATCACCTGACACGTCACAATACAGTATGATTTCAGTCAATAATCCAAACTAACATTATAAATGCGAAAGTAACTCTGTCTGTTAAGTTTTCACGTCTGAACCGCTAAACCAATATTGCTGTATTTTGGTATAGACATAGACTTTAAATAAGTAAGTAAGTAAGTAGACGCAACATTAAAGTAGACCTATAGGGAAAGTAAACCAAACAGGAAAATAAACGAAATGAGAAAATAGACGAAATGGGAAAGTAGACCAAATGGGAAATGGACGAATCGGGAAAAACAAGTGTACTGATCGGGAAAGTAGACGAATAGTGAAAGTGGACCGATCGGGAAAGTAGACCAATTATACCAAAGGGGATGGGACCTAGGAGAAGTACATAAGCTACTTTTTGTCACGAAAATAAATGTTAAATGGGGTGAAATAGGGGACGAAAGTTCATATGGAGAACCAAGAAAACTATGACAATTAGTATGATACAGTAGATTATTCGAAGTACTTATTCCACGCAGACCAAGTCGCGGGTACCAGCTACTTCTTACATAATCTCAGTAAGAGTACTAAAATAACCGACCTGAAAAGTCATTCATCCCTTAGCTTGCCACGCTTAGAGGTGGAATATTTTCTTCAAATTTAAATGGTACTGAGGTGTTCTCCCTCTTACCAACAAAAAAAGAATCCTCAAAATCGGTTCACAAATGCCGAGTTATAGCGTAGCATACAAACAAAAAAAACATACAGTCGAATTAAAAACCTCAATTTTTTGAAGTCTGTTAAAAATATATGTCCATAATATTGGTCTGTGAAGATAGTTATAGTACATTATTAAATTTGTGCATACATCATGTACCCTGGTTAGCAAATCCATATATGATCATGCGTCAAAAGTGCCTTTATAACATGAAAGTCATAAAAAATAAAACAAAATACATTAAACAAATTATGTATATATGTGAAATGTTAAATCTCTCCTATTTATGCATAAGAAAGTTACTGACTAAGTTTGTTCATAGAATCTTTTTTACAAAGGAAATGAGACTATTTTTCCGGATTTAAATCGCGTATATTTGTTTTTTCAAACAAACCGACGTTTCGGGCCCTTTACATTTTTTGTATACTCGTATATACTCGATTTAAATCCTGAAAAATAGTTTCATTTCCTATGTGTAACAATCGCGAAAACCTAAGAACTCGATATCTGTTTAATTTCTCTCCTGAAACGTTGTCATTTTGCAGATGTGGCATTATTACACCAAGGGTGCGATATGTGGTGAATTTCGAGGCACAAACTGAACGTGATTGCATTATTTACTTACATTAATTTTAATACTAACATAGTTAAACGGTGTGTTATGTTACTAACTTACTGACTTGTATGGACTATGTTATGTGAAAATAAATGATTTTTATTTTATTTATTATTTATTTGTTACATATGATATGATATGTAAACTCAAGGGTTTATCAAAATTAACAAGTGTAAGTTCGATCATCTTTATGTGCTCGCGCGTATGGACCACGATAATAAGCATGTGGTACCCGTATGACTTTGTACATACAGTGGACGTATTAAATATACATTTACACAATCATTTATTTACATAGGTGGTCACCTCCGCCGTTTAGGTTTTAGATAAGTACGTACATACGAGCAGTTTGTTAAAAATGTCAGAAATTTTGATATAAGTAAATCAACCATATCTCAATTAATTTAAGGTGCACTTTTGATTGTGTTTACACGAATTTTAACTGTTGTAAAGAATACAATAATTTATAGTCGCCTAGACGTCGAGACCGGATATTAGTCCTTTACACTATACCGTACCATTTATATTATGAATAATACGTTGATTTTTACTAAATGTTTAGATATTCTTAATCATGTTTCATATTTCTTTACAATAAACTGCCTCCGTGGCCGTATTACTATACTGGTCTGCCACGCAGAAAAGCGGGATCGATTCCCGGGCCGGGAGAAAAATTTGTATGGCCTATCTAAATTTATTTCTCTCGTGAATTTCGGTGTAGGTCATTTGTGGTTGTCTATGTGTGAGTCCATGGCACCCGCGACACAGGGTTTTCCTAGTGCAGGGCTGTGAGTGTGTGCGTTATTTATTTATTATTAATTTTAGGTTATAATGAAGAAACTATTTCTTCATTATTTTAGTTTTTTTTTTAATAAATATTTTTTTTATTTCAGTAATACAATTAACTTTACATTAACAGTGGATGGTACCTCCTATTAAGCTTATCAAGCCTGTGTCAGGAGGAAATTATTATTATATTTATTACTAAATGTATTTTAAATTTCGTTGCAGTCAGCCCTATTTTGTTAGCTGCGTATGAGTGTATTACCTGTCCGTCTCTCGCATAGCAAACGGAGTTGCTTTGCGTATATTTAAGGGCAATGGTAGCCACAGTGAGGTCCCTGAGGGCGTTTTGCGGTAGGTCCTTTTTGTTTGTCACGATGTTGTTGAACAGTTCAGGGGTGATCTTGGCATCGTTCCGCTTTTGTTCCAGAGTCAGACCGAAGATTGTCTTTTGTTCGAGCTCTGACGGCTCATACGTAGGGTCCATCTGGAATAATATATATATTTATGAAATACAAAGTGACTATCAGTGAATACAGTACATCTGATGGAAAGTGTGATGATGTCTATAGAAATTTTAATACTAAAGGCGTAAATGCCGCGGGACAAATCAACATCTTAGGCCTCCAAGTGGTCGAGTTTTCGCTCCCTACCCTCAGCGGGGGATTTGCCCTAAGGCCCACAGTAGCCAGATTTTATTAACAGTCTATATTAACCACCTCGGTGGCTCAGCGGTTAGTACTCTGGATGCAGGATAAAGAGGTCCCAGGTTCCACTCTCGATAAGGGCAATTAAAAATTGAATTTCTCTAAATTGCTTCTGGTCCGGATGTTCTGGATAGCGCCCTCGGAATTCAGTTAATGTGCAGAAGTTTTTGTAGGTACCAGATATTTTCTAGTTTGAGCCCAGGAAATTGGAAAGATTGTCGCACACTCTTAATATTATTTATGGCATGCTTATTGGCAGGCCTATACTCATCAGTGTCCGCCAGTTAATGAAGTAACTCAAATACCGATGAATATACTTTGTACTATGATTATATACACAAGCGATTTGTACACGATGTTACGAATTATACATGGTTTGTTTGCTTTATTATTCTAATATGGAACAAATTGCAATATACTAACCGTATAAATATCAAGATTATAGCTATATGGTCACCCAAGGTCACCACTAGCAAATATGCGCTGGCTAAGTAACCATGCCTGCTTGAATGCTTTTATAACACCTTGTACGCGGATCGCATAACGAAAATAGGTACCCCGTACCTTATTACCGTTTACATTTAAGGCAGTATGCAGTGAGTCACGTGGTGAAATTCGGCCACCTTTACATACAATAGTAGAAAAAAATTGGTCTTCTTTAACATTGGAAATGAGACTATTTTTTCTGATCTAAATCGTGTATATTTGTTTTTTTAAACAAACCAAGGTTCTGGGCTCTTTTCACATCACACATCTAGCTATATAAATGCAAACTACTCTATTTTGAACTAGTCTTCTCAACTTCATGGGACGCCCACTTATATTACAAGACTAATAGCAATAGCATATTTTCTTTGCGAGCTGTAGTGCTTTGTTAATTTATTTTGTAAATTAGAAGGGACTACGATGACTACATACCAGTCTATTTTATCAGAGGGCTACATGGTTTGTTTGTAATGTGGCAAAATTGTAGTTTGGTATCATAATACATTTACAAACCTGTAGCACACAATAGTTGCCTCCCTTCTTCTTCTTCAATATAGTGAGGGCCTCAGAAGTATAACCGGGAGCGATGATACCGTCTGAAACCTCTCTAGAGATGATCCTGGCCGTGACCTCGTCGCAGACGTCGGATAACGCGACGAAGTCGCCGAAAGAACTCATGCGGTCAGCGCCGCGAGCTCTTGCGTATGCGCAGGCCAAGGGTGTTAGCTGCGGGAGTAGGTCTTCTACCATGCATACTGCGGCCTAGGAACGTTTATTAGAAAAATATATAGGTGATGATTGCAGTGATTCCGGTTGATGCGCCAGATCTTAAAACATCTTCTTAAAATTGACAAAATTGAAGAAATTACAAATATGTTGTCGTTGCGTTTTGTATTAGTTTATAAAGAACAATAATATTTTCGAATCTGGCCTATTGATTTGGGAGTCACAGAATTGACACCATTGAAAAAAACCCTAAAGATCAATTTATCGCATACGCTCTCTTGATATAATAATATCTCTCTTAGTATATATTAATAGGAAATGAAACTATTTTTCCGGATTTAAATCGCGTATATTTGTTTTTTTTAAACAAAACCGACGTTTCAGGCCCTTTACCATGGGACCTGTAAAGGTTGTATGTATACGCGATTTAAAAAATAATAAAATAGTTTAATTTCCTATGTGTAATAATCGCGAAAACCTAAGAACTCGATAAGTATATATTAATTGAATTATAACAATTGCTCGATTTTTTGACGATGGATACGTGTGATCAGACAAAATTGAGTAAATAAATATTAGCAACAGACGACCGACAATGAATTTTTTGTCGAACGACTGTAGAATTTAAATTTGTTCGGTTTTAACGTTCATATTTATCGGTCACTAATAAGTGATAGTAACAATCGTCAAAAATCGAGCAAATTTTTCTATTGTTCTTTAATTATTTTATTACATAATTTAATTTTGTTTTGTTGTGCACGTAAACCCATTATTGTAATTATTGTGTCCTGTGTTTTGGTCTGCAGAAATAAATTTCTTTTTGAAAACAAACAAAAGGTACTGCTTATAGAAATAACACAAGCGCAACTACAGTAACAAACCATCACCAAAAATATACACGACACGTGTTTCGCCTTTCCACGAGACATCCTCGGGGTTGTTGATTGTTCGACACTCGGCCGAAGAAATTCTTCGGCTTGGAGAGGCGAAACACGTGTCGGGTATATTTTTGGTGGTGGTTTGTGACTGTAGTTGCGCTTGAGTTATTTATTTTATTAATTTTATGCGGAGAGAGGGTGGGAAAATTAACTGCATGAAAAACAAATTCAACATAAGCGCAGCTATTTTGTACGATTTAACCTTCACTGGGTTCGCGGAGTAGCGAATTAATTTACTTCCAATTTTATTGATTTGTGTTTTCCTGTGCAATAAATGATTAAATAAATAAAATAAACAAAAACAAATCTGTAGACACCTTAGGTCGGTCTTTATAGACACCGTTACTTTAAGCTTCAAATTAAAGCCATAAGTTCGTATGTATGTTGTAGCTTCCGCAGCCTTCACACATCTTCTTGTTTAAAGTTCAAATTTAAAAGGAAAAAGAAATAATGGAAATAAATCCGGTTTAAAAAAAAAATTAAAGTTGTTTTGTGATCTTTGAAATGTTTATCGCACAACATCGCTATAGCGATTGAGCAGAGAGTAACGAGAAAAAAGGTGACAAAAAGGTGGGATGACGATGGAAGGAGGTCACATCGCCACAATTATAACAAAAATAATCGACCATGTTTGAACTTGTGGTCGTGTCTTCAGCAAAAAAATCAAATTCTTTACTATCACGAATATGGTCACCAGCTGAATAATGGCCAGATATTTTGGTTAAGTGTATCTTTTCAAGTTCTAACCTCCTCCTTAGACAAAGGTACACCAATAGCAGCTCCGGCGGGTGAAACATGCTTGAAGCTGGTAGCAGCGGGGAGAGCCAAAGCCTCTTTAAGCTCCTTCACCAATTGCCACGCATTTAACGCGTCGCACAGGTTTATGAAACCCGGAGATCCGTTTAGTGTCGTCAATGGTAGTCTGTCTAGGGTTGTGAATACTTGCGCTGGCTTTTGGTGCGGGTTCATTCCTGGAAATTACTAGTCATTTATCACACACACATTTTTGATGATTTTTTACTTGATAACATAAAATGTAAAATTTAAGTATTGCATGTTATATGTTATATGACTTCTTATTTTCCGGTTAAATTCCAATAGTTGTTGTTTGTTTATGGTATTGTATTAATTTAACTTTAATACATGCTACATCAAAAATGAACAAAGAATGATGTCAAATATTCGCATACCAAGTTTATGGAGGATCTAATATAATATACTATAAGACCTGCAATGTGAACTACATTTTTCAGCGAATAAATGTCTTGTATTCTTGTACAGTCTTGGTGTACATGAGAGCATATAATCTGTAAGACACTGGCGTCTATAAACTAGACCTATGTCTTAGGTTTTAAAGACTTTAGATGAAATTAAGAGTTAAAACTGCTTACTTGCTTCTAATACATAGTAAAAAGTTTGGAACGGCCGCCCGAGACTAATAGTGAAGAAACAGAGATAGAGGTGTCAGACATCCAAGTAAAATATATAATTTATCATTTAGATTTAACTACTCGTTATTGTCCCAAAACCCAGCTAAACGACAGTGAGAAATGCACTTAACGCTCAATGTACATTAAAATGTTCTAAATATAATAAATAAATAAATAATATATAAATAGACAACATCACATCCGTTGCTCGAATCTCAAAGTAAACAACTCTAGGACTTGTGTGTTGAGGAAGTGAAAAACAGCGTCGGTACCACAAACACTCACACCCGAGACAATATAGAAAAATTTTTCTAGATTGACCCAGCCGGTGTTCGAACCCGAGACGTCAGAAATGACGACACCATGAAAACCGGCGTGCAAGCCACACGACCACGGAGGTATAATTAGATGCTTCAGGCACAAGTAAGTACGCCTCAATTTGGAAGGAAATTATTTTTAATGACTTCAAAAAAAGGAGGAGGTTCTCATTCGACTGTATTTATTTTTTTATGTTTATGTTACGAGATGTTATGCGATTACTCGCGCGAACTCGCGCTGTTGTTGGGGATAGCGAAGATTCGGTGCAGTTGCTTGTGAATTTTGTAATTTATCATTATTGTAATGTAAATATAATAATGATAAATTACAAAATTCACAAGTTCTGGAGTTCAATCGCATTGGATGACTGTATATAACTGACTTACCGTATCTAAGTGTTAGCTGAGCCTGTCCAGCGGAATATTGTTTGCGGAAATAATCAGAAATAGCCAGATCATATTCCGAAGTGTGCGTAAAAGCTTTTAAAGCAAGCTGTTGTCTAGTTTCCAAAGTAGTTTGATGGTTGTTTGTACTCTTCAACTCTTTGATGACCTTGTCATAATCATTAGGATCACATACAACGGTGACTCTATCGTGATTTTTGGCAGCTGCGCGGAGGAGTGTAACGCCGCCAATGTCAATGTTCTCGACCGCGTCGGCGATGGTAACTTCAGGCTTTGATACAGTTTGTACAAATGGGTAAAGGTTGCAGACGACTACGCTTATCATATCGAACTTTTGACGCTTCATGTCCGCCTGGTCGGATTCGGTAAGTCTGCATAAAGTATATTAAGGCTGTACATTTACATACTAAACTGATATGTCAGATTATTATTAACACAAAGATTGAATAACACAAAGAAAAATTCCTTCGATCTAACTGGTTTCGAACCAGCCTTTGTTGTCACACCGGGGCCACCACTTTTACCAACTGAGCTAAAGACCGAGTCCTTGTTGCAGATCTTTGTATTGAGTTGAAACGGACTTTGCCGTCAGACCCACTTTTGACAAAATTTATGAAAGTTTCTTCACATGGTAGTAAAAAAATCATGATATTCAATAAAATAAGAAACAATTTAACGTCAGATTATATATTGATTAATTTGCCATAAATCTCGCCTAAAGTCAGAGATTTACATTATGTTTTTCTTTTTAACTGTGTGCGTTAATTTAGTAATTATGAAGAAACGACACATGGAAATAAAATAATAATAAAAAAATAATGCACCGTTCACAGCCCCACACTAGGGGAAACACTGTACAGCGAGTGCCATGAACACACTAATAGATAACCATAAATTACACCCAAAGTCACGAGAGAAGTAAACGTAGGCCATACAAATATTTCTCTCGGCCCGGGAATCGAACCCGAGACGTCTGCGTAGCAGTTTAGCATGGCAACCGTTCGGCTACAGAAGCAGTTTAAATGTTGTATGTTTGGCGATACTTAAAAATATATATCTAAAGAATTTAAAGTAGTTTGTTTTCACAGCTCGACTGGTTGTTGAGTTTACCTACACTGAGCATATTATAATCAAATGGCTCTTTCGCTCTTTTCCCTTCCTTAGAGGAGACCCGTGGCCAGTATTAGAATGTGTATGGATTGATGGTAACATTGCACCATATGAACGTAGTGAACACCCTCACTCTATGTTAAACAAATAATAATAATTCTAATTGTAGTTATTAGACACGCCAATCCATTTGGCTATTTGTAGTAGCGTTCCATTTCGTGTTCTGTATCAAATAAGAACAAATACGGAATGACATTGGTCTATTATCATTATTTAGCAGTCAGTGTACTCATAGCGTATTATGCTATTGATAAATAATGGTCCATCTCTATAAGAGAGTAAAGTTAACAATGTATTGTAGAGACTATAAATTAAGTCTGTTGATATAAGAGCTCTGGGCTAAGACTTCGAATACGCAGCAGGTAACTCAATTAACGAGACGGACTTTTGTACATTGTTACTGGCTGTTTTGAGGGTGTCGTCACGTTCTTGGAGTGTATAACACCAAGATGAGTTCACTGCTGTTGTACCGACTTCATTAGTGATGCAACAGAAGTGTCGAGACAGATGTCAAAAGTAAATCTTAGCGGACACGGAAGTGGATACGGAAATGTAAATATTATAAAGATTTCAACAAAATAGTTCCAAATAGGAGGAATTGGTTTTAGTTTCATAATTGCACTTAACACAAGACTGCAAAAAAAACACGCGCTCTACCGCTGAGCAATCCACGCGCGAAAACGTTGTAAATATCTGATTAAAGTTTCGTTACAAAAGTCGCGGAAGCAGAAACGAATAAAGCATGCGGAATTTCCGCAGTTGCGGAAACAGAAGTACAGGTCCGTTACATCACTAGACTTAATATACGTGGGGCATTCCTACTGTGAGAGCACTGTGTGTGTATGGTATTGTACTAAGGAACCTTACCTGGATAAGATTCCCGCATGTACAGCAGGATGCAAGGTCTTCACGCGACCCCCGAGCATTTCTGGGGCCCCAGTAATGTCCGAGACATCGAGCACTTTGAGCCCAGCGTTCCGCAGCGTCGTCGCCGTGCCTCCGCTGCCGATCAAAGTCAGCCCGATATCCGATAGATATTTTGCAAACGGCACCAAGCCGGTTTTGTCCGATACGCTGACTAGAGCTTTGAATTAAAAAACAAAATAATGACTTGTTTGTATGGTATTGTACAGTTTTTACAGTCAAAGTGAACAGGAATTTACAAGGCGAAATTTGTTGTATGAATTGGTAAAATACAGGTGTTACTTACAAGTGATTAGATCTACAATTCTTACCCAAGGCGTACAATGTCTTAAAATTACAATTCAATTAAAATTAATTACAACTTAAATGCCAAAACGTAAAATTATTATTAAGTTAGTTATACAATTGTCAAATATTTGATGTCTTTATATAAAATTCGTTAAGATTGTAAAAAACTTTGTCAATTAACCATTTTTTTTCCATTGGAAGTCTGTTATAAATTCTAATCGCTGTTACATAGGTGCTGCGGTCAAAGATCGTGCTGTTTATTTTAGGGAGGACAAGACGGTCCTTGTTTCTGACGTTAACGGAGTGTACATTAGATATTTTAGTAAAGAAGTTACTGTGATTACGTACAAAAAAACATATTTCCAAAATATATATTCCTGTTAAAGTCAGGAACCCCTTTTCTTTGTACAGACTTCTTAGAGAATGTATGAATGTGTAACATCTTCTTTCACATCTTGAATTCCATCCAGAATGTAAGAAAGTCGACAAACGTGAAGTCATCTCTAATCAAATCGTAAAGGAACTTAAAAATTCATTGTAGAGATTTTTACACATTGAAATAAAGCCTTAATCAAAAACTGTTTATTTCCCACAATTTTTGTAGTTTTCTGTTTTTGTTAGTGCGAAATATTACTGCTACTTATTTATGTATAAGAGGCAATGGACAGGAACTAATCTGACCTTAGCAATAGAGTCTAATCAACACACATTGGTACAGCGTGTCCTGCGACTAGACTAGAAATGTATGTCAATTGTGTAACGCACAAACTAGATACGAGCCAAAAAACAGGTCACGCGTCTTACGAGGAATTCTCGTTCAATCTCGGGAATTCTCGCAACTACCAGATCGTATCTCGTTTGTACGTAAAAAAATTTAAAGGTCATTGGTCATGATATCGCTTCCGTGTCGCGACAGAGTAAATTGAGTTTAAAATTGAGAAGTATTATTTATCTACAACGATAACAGTGAGTGGGGAAGTGATGACATTCCTAAATTAGTTAATAACCATATTATTATAAAATTAAAACTTATATAAATACAAGTTTGAATTGCATAATTGAATAGCTGATATATCAAAATCTTATAAATATAAATGAAAAAAAAAAACCTATACTAAAGTGGAGAAAGAAGCGAAACTGACTGCAAAACTATTGAGTTTATTCCATAGATAATAATCTGAAATGTATGTAAATCTAGAATATCTATCTATGTAGTAAGATATTGAAATTTTTTATGCGTTAACCAGGCTAAAAAAGAAGAGTAAACTTTGAAGGGTTATCGACCCTATACCATGGTTATGTAGATAGTAGCTGTATAACGTTGTTTCTTGGGCAAATTTCTTGAAATATGGCTTAAAAACAAAAAAGAGTTGCCAACCGTATAATTATAATAATACACAGAAAACAAGGATTTCTACTAATAAGAAACAGCAATTTTTCAAAATATTTGCTAATTCTGAAAAAATATTTATTAAAAGTAATAAAATATTGTCGTTACAAAAATACTGTTTATCTTTTTCTAATACAATTTAACTCTTAACTTTATTCTAACTTTTAGACAAATACGTTCACTTCAAGATTTTATTTCATTTCTAATCAATTAATTGGACATTACTTACATAAAGAAATTTTTACCTCTTACATCAAATTTAAATAATCTTAAATGAATTCAAAATTTCTTGGGTGTATTTTAAGAAAATATATTCTTAAACAAAAAAAGCAGTAGTTTGCTATTCAGATTAATATTCTAAATTTTAGAGTATATTCATAAAGCAACATTTCGTTGCCTTTTCATAGTCAATGTTGTCGTGTCATGTCGCCGAAGGCGCACGCGGTAACGATTACTTTTACTTGTGCTGTTTATGATTTTTATGATTACAAAATCATAAAAATCATAAACAGTCCTTTATCCAAAGAAACAATACGTAGTACGTAGTATCTCTAGTTTGTTAGGGTGTTATTTATAGTCATAATTTAAGTAATTTGGTTTCAGCATGAAATCAAACTACACTTGTAACAAGCACAACTGTAACATGCAATTAGTTCCATCACGCCACTGCTAGATGACATTAGTTGTACTCTGAAACGCGCTATCGTTTTGTTAACTTCAATAGTATAAAGTCATCTCATATATTTGGAAAAGTTGGTGCTTACTGCCGCTGTAGCATTTATACGGCACTGAATGGTCCTCGAGTATTTGAGAAGATTCCGTCCTATTACTTCTACTTTAAGTTTTGGCACTGAACCGTGTGCTTTCACGCTAGTGAGTGACACATACTGTTGGGTCCATAAATCTGTAAATTTATCCTTTTTGATATTAGAAAACATAAATCTTCAGTCAAATAATTAAGTACCTCTCAATTTTTCATTCTTTTTTTTTTCAAATAGAAATCGGACATTTCTATTCTAATAACAAATAAATATTTTGTTAAATCTAGAGTGGCTTTGTGACTTGAAGTAAATTAATTTGCTCTTGGATTAAATATTTCTGTCTTGTAACTAAAATACACTTTTGAGACGTTCTTTACTATTATCAAGTAAATATTCTCTAGCGTCTATAGGGAGAGGATCGTTTTTGTTAGATTTAATAAATTTGTCTTCATAAAAAGAATTTTGTCTTTTTCTAAGAAATCTGTTTTTACCGTGTACTATAATTTAAATTACACGTTTTGTAATGCGTCATTCTATATACATTTATGTAGTCCAGCTGAAAGATGGTCTATTTAGAAAGAAAGTAGTTGTAATGATTTTGAAGGTCTACAAAAACTCGACTGAAATTAGAAATTGGAAATAGTTGTAGATACAGACGTTATGTAAAAACCTCAAAGATATGACATTCTACATTAGTGGAGATATCTTTAAAAGATTAAAATTTAAGAAAGTATTTGATTTGTTATTTATACTAGACGTAAGATATTTTAGTTATAACATCTTTATGTGTATTACAAATAAATGAATATATTTGAATTCGTAGTTATTTTTAATAGTCAAATCAAATGAAACACAACAAATCGTAAAGGTTTATTATTATATTTATATTTATTATTATTAATTATTGGACATACTTGTATAATCGTCAACACCAGAAAGTTTTCCGAAAACTTTATAGAGGTTACAATTGAAGGTAATCGTCGTTACAGGCGTATCAGCGCGTGAAAATTTTAACTTAAACAACATATACCATACAATTGATTTTTTGTGTGACCTGAATTCATCTGAATTGAAACATATTACCGGTTTCATGAAAAACTCTACATTAAATCATGCACTTTAAAAATTTTAAAATAATTAAGATAAGTTACATGTATTTTGAACCCTAAAATAGTGACTTTTAACATCAATGTCTGTAAAAGAAATAAGTTCGTTAAAATTATCTTTGTTTTCTTACCTAATTTTCCGTTGGCGGCCATGTCTGTAGCTTTTCACCGATGGCAATGAACAGATAGATCTCTCCGTAGCGAGGGCCAAACAATCGAAGTTGTTATATCAGCAGCGACCTCTCGCAGGAGTCCTGATAGCAAAATGACCTTGTTTATCTAATTAGAATAGGGCTGTCCACCGCTGTCAAATAGTACGCGTCTACATAAAAACGCTTTGTTGTACCACCGTTAAGATACAAAAATACACGGTATTAGGTAGTAGACAACAAATTTTTGGGGTCGTATTCCAGAACTCTACTCAATGCTCAAGTCAGGACTTGAGCAGACTTCTCCGGAGCCTGTATTGCACGGCCTCACTCGTCTGGGGGGCGGGTCGGAGGACAACCGATGAATGTTCACTGATCCCACGGCGCCGACTCAACCGGTGAGAGGGAAACCCGGGGAGGTTTTAGTGGGGTAGGCCCTCCAGTCTGGAGGGAGAGTCCCCACATAACCCCTGAGTCCATAAAGATTTCCGCCGTCAAAAAAAAAAGGACTTGAGCAGACTTGAGTATGATTTCAGGAAATACGACCCTAATGGCAAAGACTTCATTGATGATATGATTTTCAGTGCTTTAAATCATACTCGAGTCCTGACTTGAGCATTGAGTAGAGTTCTGGAATACGACCCAGAGAAGTTGTGGATGTTGCATACGGAATAGTATATAATTTGAGGAAATAAAAATTTAAAACACCAAATAAAAAACATCCCGTACTCAAGTAATTAACTTAAAAATAGTGTAAACAACTGTGGGGATCGTTAGTGTCATGAGTTGATGACCTACTTCATGCCTTGTAATTACTACATGCAAACAAAACAAAAGAAAAAATAATTTTTTCACGGTATTTATGTTACTGTCTCCGTGGCCGAATGGCTATCGTGCGGTCTACCAGTCAGAAGTCCCGGGTTCGATTCCCGGGCCAACAGAAATGTTTGTATGGCTTATATTTATTTGTGGTTGTCCATGAAATGTCTATGAAATCGCGCGATACAGGGTTTCTATGAGCGTTATTATTAATATTGCGTTATTATTATTATTATGTCTTTGTATAATTAATTGAAGATCAATATCACTCAGTAATGTCTGTCTGTCTGTCTGTAATAAATGTAATATTTGCAAGTTTAGTTGATTAACAGCCCTAATAGTATGAGCGTCAACAACATGACGAAAATATGATGTTTGTTACAGTTTCACTAAAGCATATCGCTAATATTTTCAGCTTATAAATATTAAAAAGGTTATTGTCACCCTTGGAGGAAATGTTTTTTCAAAAATTTGGACGGTTATTTTACTTTTACCTTAATTTTTTCATTCATAATTATTTTCACTAATCGTAATGTAGATTTGTAGAGTACCTATTTCGAGGTTGATTTTGCGTTTTTCTAAATTTTAGTTGAATAACTTTTTTATTTATTAAACTAATGTTAATTTTTTATTGAATTGATATTCAATAATTTTTTGTGAAATTACTCCACTAGTTTGTTATAATTATTAATACAAAGATCGTACACAGCAAAAAAATGTAAAATTGTTACAATTTTAAAATTTTGTTATAAAATTTTTTTGTTTAATTTCGATTTTTTTCAATAAAGGTCGACGTTAAAAGATTTGATTTAAATGCTACTTTATGATTAATTCTTGTTTATTTAAATCTACACGTTATTACTTTATATCCTCACGTTATTATTCCCCTAAATGTACCACTGTATGCATTTCATGATTAAATGAGACTTTTATCAGATATTGTAAATTGAGCGTGGATTTTACATGTTACAGTGAGGCTACTTCGGCTCTACGTTTATTTTCGAATACAAATACAATACCTCTACCTATGTATAAAAACACAATAAGAATTACTGTAGGTACTTTCTGTACAACTGCCTCCGTGGCGTAACGGTTACCATGCTGGTCTGCTACGTAGAGGTCCCGGGTTCGATTCCCGGGCCGGGAGAAATATTTGTATGGCCTATATTTATCTCGTAAGTTTGAGTGTAATTTGTGGCCTTTTATAGGCTGTGCTTTTCTCAAACAATGTGGGGAAACAATAAAAGACTTAAGAAAGGAAGATGTATAATAGAAAAAGTAAAAAAATTAAGTACTATAAATGATCCTCTTTTTGGTTTCTTATTATTTCCCCACATTGTTTGAGAATAGCACTATACATTGTACGCTAACGCTCACGATGTATGCTAAAGAGTAGTAATTCGTATTAATACGCGCTGGCGCTCGGCCTTATAACTCTTACTCGTCCAGTGATCTCTTACTTCCCGGCCTTTGCAATAATGTGATATATATATATAAAAAACTTTGGTTTATAATTACTTTTTATTAAATAAATTACTATCTCTGGCATTTGTGTTACAATGCCACTGAAAGAAAAAACTGTTTGTCTTTTAGCTCTGGAAAAGATGACCTTAATCCTCTCTTTGCAGAAGACCCGTGCCCAGCAGTGTAATCAAATGCTTCAGAAACTTATGCAGGCGTCGGCAAAACAACACGACAATTTTGTGGAAATCGGATAACATTGGAGCGCGTATGGGACAATCAGTTTATTATCACAATCATAATTTTTTGTATAATACGAGTTTTACACTCATTTTTACTGAAACAGATACTTGTTAACATAATTTTACCATTATATTCGAATTGAGAATGGACAATATTATAATCTAAAATTAAACTGTAAAAACTATTATAATTTGCAATTTTTTTGTAACAACTATTATAATTTGCAATTTTTGTTTACTATATTTTTGGCAACTCCCTGTAAAACCAAGCTAGTCAAAAATAACAGTAAAACAGACCGAAATTTCAGAACAAAGCAATTGCCATCTATCACTTAAATAACTTAAAGTTGAAATATTACCTACAACTTCCTTATAGACGGTTTATTGACTTTTTTGGAGTTTTGTAACTGAAATGATTACATGGATCCTACGAAGTTTAAAAGTTAGGATGTTAGTAGTTTTTGAGAAATTATTTTTTGATGTAAAGAACATTCTCAACACCGTATATTTTTTATACCAAGTGGACGAAGAGGATTCGAAAACGAAGTAGTGGTGACAATAAATAAATCAAATTAACAGTACATAATTAACTAACTTAGCTTAACTTTTTCATAAGTAAGTATAAAAAAACCGACCTCAAAAGTTTGTGGAATAACATCTATTTGCCAGGTTTTTTTAATCAGTTAACTAAAAATGGGTGTAATCCAATAAACTAGATTCGTCCCCTAATTTGCCACCCACCACTATTGAGGTAGGTACCCCCGTTTCAACAGAAATAATCACAGGAAGCGGTTCACAAATGTCGGAGTATAATCGCATAACACTAGTTAAAAATTGAGAGCCTGCTCCTTTTTTTTTTAAATCGGTTAAAAATTAAATTCTGTCCGAAATACTTTCACGTAAATAATCTTAGAGCATATAGGACTGGAGGCATCATCGATAAGCAATCCCCTCTGTCAAGGTACAAGCACAAAACAACTATCGCTCAATAAACACTACTTTCAAATCGACGTTTTTTCATTTCTATTATCGAATTCACCGCGTCAAGTACTCCACGAAACATGTCGTCTTGCGCTAGAGATGCAAGGAATACTCCATAAAGGGCCGTACTTGTATTTTATATAACAACAGTCGGCGACCTGGAGAGAAGTACAGCTTCACTCTATTGAGCACTACAAGCTTTTTTGAAACACTTGTGTCTTTGCGGGGTTAAATTTTACTAGATTCTGGCGGCCCCATTCTGAGACCTGCTCCAAAGAAGTCTCGATTTTGGACACAAGTTGCAGTCTGTTTTGTTCCACTTGCTGGTGGAACAAAACAGACTGCAAGAAATATTTGTGCGACCTGTATATTAGGCATCACCGGTACCGTCATCCGCATAGCAATGAATGTTACTAGTTAATAACATGTCAATGATATGCAGGATGAACAGGGTTGGTGATAGCATAGATCCTTGCGGAACGCCGGCGTTGATGAGCATGGTGTTCGAGCACAATCCGTCGACAGCTACTTTTATGGTCCACTCAAACAGGAAGCTGGTGATCCAAGTGCATAGCCCTTTTGGAAGCCCGTAAGATGATAGCTTCGACAGAAGTGCCTTGTGCCAGACCCGATCAAAAGCCTTAGCGATGTCTAAGCTCACGCCATTGCTTCCCCCTTGCTCTCGATAGCAGCTGCTCATTGGTGCGTGAGATACACAAGAAGATCACCAGCACCACGACCGCGGCGAAAGCCGTACTGGCGGTCGTTAATAAGTTTATTTTGATATGATAATACACCGAATATATTTTATTCAATAACGTAACACATAACCTCCAAAACTTCTAATTGAATATCTTTAATTCCCGACTTCTCAGAATAGTAAACCCAAACCAAAATTTGTTCAGGAAAATCAACTCCATATTATCACACATATTTCATAAACAGACGCATATGAATTTTGTCAACAAAAATTTATATGGGAGTTTGCCATTGTCCTTTTCGTTTTACGAATATTATTCAAATAATTTTATTGCCAAAGTGATTTTTTTATAATCATTGTGTCAAAAAAGAAGCGCTCAACTGTAGATGACTATCGCTCGTATTGAGAGTTGAAATTAATATGGTGAATAGACTCAAGTCCTGACTTGAGCATTGAGTAGAGTTCTGGAATACGACCCTACATAGTTACTAGTCTTATCCTTAAATTTTAACTTTAGGAAGCTCGTAGTTTTATTAATAAAAATTATTGAGATATTCGAAAATTAACATGAAACAGGATTTGTAGGTTATCAACTCACGGCGTTTGTCGCAACTAAATTACAAAAATAACTCAAAATAATAAACATTTTCGTAAAAAAAAAATATGGGGGAACGAAAAGCGGTGCGCGTTCCTCCTTATTTTTTTTTAAGAAAATGTTTATTATTTTGCGTAATTTTTACAATTTTTCGCAATAGTTGATTAAAAAGCTTTATAGCTATGCTTTTATTTTCCAACTTCGAAAATTTTCGAAAAACATATTATTTTTTGTAACTTCAAACTACGTAGTACTACTACTTTAGACTACTATTGCCTACATGAGGTTATTTTATACAAATTTTCAAAAATTAATACCTCGAAAACTATTCATGTTCGAAATTTGAAACTTCGTAGGGGGCTCCCCTCCCCTGGCCCTCATTCCCAGACTATTTACTCGCTCTTCGTGAATTTGGAGCGAAAATATGTGATTTTGAGGTTATTATTTTCCAATTCTCAAAAATTAATATCTCAAAAACTATAAACGTCCTAACTTTGCAACTTTGCAGGGAGGGTCCCGTCCCCTCCCCTCTCTAAATTCGTGGGGTGGTAATGTATAATCCTTCCAAAAGAAGTAAGTAAGGAATAATGTTGTTACCAATAATATAGACAAGTCGCACGACGACTGTTTATTAATATCGAAACGCAATATTACAATTACAACAATACAACCACCTGCATTGATGTGCTGTGGCTTTTAAGCGTCAATTTTCGCATTTCCTAGTGTTCAGTGGTTTTCTTTAGTTTATGATGATTTTTAAAAATATTTTTTTCGGAAACTTTTGGTTTCCTAAGCTGAAAATTTATATGGAATTTCCGTCTGATTCTTCAAAAAATAATCAGAATGTTTATTTCGACGTCAGATAATCTAAAGTTGAGCAATTTCAACTAATGTCAATTAATATTACTGTAGGTAGGTACCATCACTTGTCGAAAGAAACCGGTCGTAAAAATCCTGGACGTATAGTCATGTTTTAAACACAAGTGTGAGGGAACATAATAAATAAAATAACCAAAGAAATAAATAAACTGGTACTTACCAGTTTGGTAAATTAACTAACTGAATAAAACATGTAAATGAGTACAGTTAAGTGGTAAAGCACAGTGGTAAAGTTTGACCAATGACAAGTGACAACCTTGCAAGCATGCGTGAGCATGCGTCGTAGGCTTGTCATTATGACAGTAAGTATCAACTTCAACTTAATGTGACATAAGTAGGAACATTTATACAAAAAGTTTCAGCAGTGATGATGAGTGAAAGATACCGCACCATTGATTGGCTATGCGTATTTTCTTATGATAATACCTCATACATACCTACTCTTGCAACTAAAATGATTAAGATTTTGATGTCTTTTAATGTTTATACGTACACATTACCTACTTTAAAATAGTATAACTTTCTGTATGCACGAGATATCTCACACAGAGGTATACAAACTATATAAGTACTGTATAAGATGAATATTTTATTTTTTAATTGCATAGAAGTCATTAACATCAGCCTTCCTCTAAGTCATGAGCAGTAGTAACTGACAGAGTTCTCTTTTCAGTTTGTGGTGACAAGTAAACAATTATCAAACTACATCATTAAGCTTAGAGGATGTATTTGATTGGATTGAGTTCTTTAATACGACTCTCAGGGTCGTATTCTAGAACTGTACTCAATGCTCAAGTCAGGACTTGAATATAATTCAAAGCACTAGAAATCATACTCAAGTCCTTGCCATTAGGGTCGTATTTCCAGTGCTTGAAATCATACTCAAGTCTGCTCAAATCCTGACTTGAGCATTGAGTACAGTTCTGGAATACGACCCCTAGTCTCAATGGCTGAAACGCTAACTACGAAAAGTCAAGATCAAAAATACAAAAGTCCATATTTTAAACAAAAGAATATAAACGTGTTCCCATAATCAATTTTACTAAACTTACTACTGAAGACGAGGCATAAAAGATGACTTTTATGTAGATTTTTTTTTAATTTATTAAGGCTTTGACAAAGCAATCAGCCTAAACATGAAGTTTAAATATGTTTCTGTAAATATGGCCGCCACAAAGAGGATGCTTGGATTGACTCGGGATTCCTTAAAACGGGCCGATACGGGTATTTTACTTCGAGATTCGTATAATTTCGCGTTTTAATCTTCGATTAAGGCACAATAGCATTATCCTATTCCATTTTAAACTAGATTTCACAAAATAATTGAAAGTCAAAATAAAAACGACACTTTTCCCTCCAAAAGGTCCATAGCGAATCCTTTTATGTAGCTGATAAAACACTGCGCATTGACTCTAGTATTAAAAATGATTTAACAAAAAAAAAATATTAGCTTATTTGGATGTCGAAAACTGTCACTAAGCATTTTAAAACAGCAACTAATAATTAAATACTGTATTTTACCAAAGACGTTAAATTAAATCACTATTCAAAATAAGGCACTATGATCTTCGCCTTTAGCACAAGCCTTTAGCCAGTTATTTATAGACGAAAAGAAAAAGTAGTATTTCACGCAAATGGCGGGTTTTTGAAGTTACGAGTACAGAGTTTACAAAGATTATTTTTATTATAAGTATATTATGAAAAAAAACGAAGTAAGAAATAGCGATAAAGAAAGTTACAACTATATTCCTTATTTTAAACCAAATTAGAACAGACTATCCTGAAAATTCCACTAATATGAATTCAAATTATTATTCAGTGATAGAAGATGATGTGATCGATGTGAAAGTAAAACATAAATATTGACTCCCGCCGCTTAAAAGGTCTATTTAATAAATCCAAATAAGTGAACTACGTGATTTAAGAGAAAGTGAAAAGTATTAGAATTACAATGGCAAATATTACTGAGGATCCCGATAATTAAACGAAGATATGGCTTGTATCCAAGCCAAAACTATTAATTAAAAAAAGTCTTTCACGCATGCGCATGGGATTTTCAATGAATTCTATTTCTATAATATGAAATTCGTCTTGGAAACGATGTTTTTAATATTTGCTGGAATTTAATACCTAGTTTAAAAAGTATTGATATTCACAGGTTATTTTTATATAGTTAGCAGTTATTATGTCTCAACCCTTTCCAGTAAAACCGATAGGCAAAAGTTGGCGCGAGATAAACCAAGAAAGGAAAGCCTTAAAACGGCAACGCAATGAGGAGAAGATAGTTAAACGAGAGAAACGAATGGCTCTCGAAAAGGAACTAGAGGAGAAAGCTAAAGAAGAGGTGGAGCGAGAGAAAAGAAACGCGGAGATATCTACGATAAGTATAGCTGTCCCTGGATCTATACTTGAGAACGCTCAGTCGGCCGAGTTGCGTACGTATCTCGCTGGACAGTTAGCCAGGGCCGCTTGCGTGTTTTGTGTTGACGAAGTTATAGTTTACGACGACATTGGCGACAAAGTTGACACAAAAAAGTCGAAACTCGAAAACGCAGATGGCATCAAAATAGCACGCAAAAGTTGTGTCCAGTTGGCTAGAATATTGCAATATTTGGAGTGCCCCCAGTACTTGCGAAAGCATTTCTTTCCTTTACACAAGGACTTAGAATTTGCAGGGCTTTTGAATCCTTTAGATGCACCTCATCATTTGCGACAGTCCAATGATTTCAAATTTAGGTAAGAGAATTCTTTTTGTGACATTATTTGTAATACACTTATTTTTTTACCCAGATCTCATACGTCAAATTGCTCTATTTTTCAGAGAAGGTATAACTATGAATAAAAAGGTTAAACCAGGCAAAGGTTCGCAGGTAAATGTAGGGCTACTCCAAGATGCATCTACAGATAAGCTCTTAGCACCTGGCATCAGGGTGACAGTCAAATTGCTACCACGTTCTGAAGGTAGCAAAAAGCTTAAAGGAAAGATAGTTAGTTTGAGTACACCTAGGGCAGAGACGGGAGTGTACTGGGGATACACAGTGCGCATTGCTAATAATTTGAGCCAGATATTCACACAGAGTCCTTATAAAGAAGGGTAAGTTCAAAATTTAAATTTGGTACTTGAAATCTGGGTTTGAAACAATAACTATCATGATAGTTCTCTTGATAAAATTTACTTATTATAATTATTTGGATATTTATAAAATTAATTGAAACAACAAAATTCTACCATCGGCAATGTCATGTTGTGTTTGATATTTATAAAATTAATTGAAACAACAAAATTCTACCATCGGCAATGTCATGCTGTGTCTGGTGACGTAACCACGTCAAATGTACTGAGATTTTTCTTCATGTTGATTTCGTTTTCTCCTTTTTAATTTAAAGTGAAAGGACGAAACTATGGATCATCATGAATATTTGCCAAAGAAAATAAATATCTTGATAAATTCAAATCCTGCTTATAATTACGTATATAAGAAATATGTTTACAAAAGGTCTATTTCAGGTATGACCTGAGTATTGGTACTTCAGATAGGGGCGAGTCCATAGATGAGTTGCCTGATAAACAATTGAAGTACAACCATGCACTAATTGTTTTTGGAGGACTACATGGCATTGAAGCAGCCTTAGAGAGTGATGAGCAGTTGAAAGTGGATGAAGCCAGTTTACTCTTTAATCACTATGTGAATGTGTTGCCTAACCAGGGTTCAAGAACAATCCGTACTGAAGAAGCTATTCTTATTGCACTTTCTGGGCTACGTACCAAACTTCATGCTATTAATGAACCAATGATTTTCAAAGAAGGTGGAACAGCACTCAGCTCAGTGTTTCCTCCTAAGAAAGTGAATATTTCAAATTATTCAAACTCTGAAAGTAATTTAGATTTAAGCAGATTTGATTAAAATGTTATTTAAAAACGTTCAGGTTTCATTTGCAAAAATATATTTTTGACACCCATTAACAGTATTTTGTAAGGAATGTTAACAATAGTATACAATAATATAAAATACATGTTGGTGGCCCCACCAAATGAATGTGTATTACTACACATTTATTTTATTATGTTTATTGCACATTTATTCAATGGGGCCATCAATATGTATATGTTATTGTTTGTCTATGATTTGTTGAACTGTGGTCCTGAGTAAATTGATTGTGTTTGCTTGATCTTGAGCTCCAATGACAGCTGTTCCAGAGACTATCATGTTTGCTCCGGCCTGTGAATGTACACGTGTAAAATACTTCAATTCCATTAATGCATTTCCACTTAATTTCTTTTATGCTCTTAAGGACTATAGTATTGAAATCTTGTAAAGTTTGATATTAAAATGGAAAACCAAACCTATATGAAACTAATATAATGTTTAAAATGAAATTTTATGAACTCAATCATTCAAGACATATTTATGAAGTATACAGTACTAACAAAGTCTGATATTGCAAATAATGTTAGAATAAAAATATGTTGGACAAAAATTTCTACAATAAAATTAATCAATTACTTTTTTGTTACACTTTGTGGGAATAGAGAATGAAAGCACAAACAGCAACTCACTATTGTTAACAACAGTATACTTTTATTACTCACATTAGCACAACATTCAATAGTAGAAGGTCCAACACCACCATCAACCTCAATATTCAGCAAAGGGTAGTGTTTTCTCAAGTGCTGCACTTTTAGCATCTGGTTCTCCATGAATTTCTGTCCCCCAAAGCCTGGCTCCACAGTCATTATCAAAACCATATCAGCTATTGAGATATATTTCTCCACTTCCGACACTGGTGTGCCAGGTTTAATAGCCAGACCTACCTGTAAATAAGTACCTATGTTAACACACAAGGCCTGTGTTCCATTGCGTTAGGCAGAGAATATAATCATCCTATTTTCATGCTGCATAAATTTTCTGCAGTACACATACCTGAAAACCACCTATGTGAAGTACAAATTAATGTGGAAATAAAACTTTACACAATGAGACCTGTGTATCATATCAGCGAAGTATCTATGGCTGATACAATAAACTCAACAAGCTGAATAGAAGCCGTTGATAACATTAAACAGTGAGACAAATCTTAGAAGAGTAACATTTACACACAATCTAATTTCACAAAGCTGGTTGTCATTTTTAAATTGTTTACTCTTAGATATATAATATTACAAAACTAAAAACTTTTATACTTGTTGTAGGTATGTTTGTATGTAGTGTATGCATTATTCATATACCTGCATTCCATTTTCTTTTATCTTTCTGCAGATTTCCTCAACATTTGTTATTGGTTCGATGTGAAAAGTGTATTGATTTACTCCTGCCTCTGCCATAGGTACGATCCACTAAAAAAAAATTGTGAATATATGATTTATAAAATAAAAACAAAATGGTGTTGTTTGTGATTGTAGTACAGTCAAAAGCATGTTGAGCTTGACATTTTCTACTTTGAACCATTCTAGCATAAGAGGCATAGAGTTGGATTTAAATCTTAAGTGTCAAGCTTGACATGCTCTTAACCCTGTACATAATGATTTGAAAGTCTGTGGTTTCGTCGGCAAATCACAATACCAATTCATTATAAGCATAATAATTGTGAACACTAATTAGGCTGACGTCGATGATAATAAATGTATATACCTGTTCAGGTTGAGAAACCATCATATGAGTTTCAAAGAAGGCTTCTTTGATTTTTGAGCGAAGGCATTTAACTACAGGATGACCAAAGGTCAAATTCGGGACGAAGTGTCCGTCCATCACATCCAAATGCAAGTAATCCGCACCATTATCCAGCAACTTTTGAGATTCTTCGTACAATTTTGATAAGTCCGAGTTGAGAATAGAAGGTCCAATAAGTGCTCGTAATTTTTTGTTCATCATGTACTTTTTCGTTGTATTAAGCTCGTTTTGAAAAACTAATTTTTCCACAGTACTTGACAAGGTTTAGCAGTGTAACTTATTTGTTATGGAAATAAGGTTAACCGCACGCCCCTTATCTGTTTTTCTATTTCCGTCACTACAGGATTTAAATGCACTAAGAATCTAATAAATAAATAAGTATGTCTTAATTTACATGTCTTTGTAATAGATCACAAAATGTGTTTTGGTTAATATTTAGAAAGTTTCATTAATTCTGCAGAAAAACGAAGGATGAAAAAAAACAAAAACACGTTTCTTTTTGCCGCAAACTTTATTTTGAATGCGTTGCAAGCAAGCAAGTTTGCTACAAAAAGATTGATTTTTTTTTCTTCTTTCCATAAAGGAAAAGGCAAAGGTTTTACACCATACAGCCAAGTCTTGGTACATTATTCTTTTTTGGTACATGAAGTTGAATTATGTTTCTGTAAATATGGCCGCCACAAAGAGGATAGGCAATTTGAGGCGGCGCGCTTGGATTGACTCGGGATTCCTTAGAACGGGCCGATACGGGTATTTTAGTTCGAGATTCGTATAATTTCGCGTTTTAATCTTCGATTAAGGCACAATAGCACTATCCTATTCCACTTTAAACTAGATTTCACAAAATAATTGAAAGTCAAAATAAAAACGACACTTTCCCTCCAAAAGGTCCAGAGCGAATCCTTGCTACAAAAAGGAACGTATTGACTTTTGTACAGTGCATGTTCGTTTCATTATAAAAACTTTGAAAAAGAAAAATACGTACAAATTATTCAATGATCGAATACTAAGAAAAAATCCTTCGATTCGGCTAGATTCGAACCAACTTCTTCCAGTAAACCGTGTCAGATGCTATGCCAACTACGGAACGAAATGTTTCGAAAATTACGAATTTTTCTATGTGCTGTGTTGGAGTTCTCTGTTTTTGGTTTTTAACGACTTCTTTGTGGTCGCACCTACTGTGAGAAATCTATGCGTCGTATTCCAGAACTCTACTGAATGCTCAAGTCAGGACCTGAGTATGATTTAAAGCACTAGAAATCATACTCAAGTCCTTGTCACTAGATTCGTATTTCCATTGCTTGAAATCATACTCAAGTCCTGACTTGAGTATTGAGTAGTGTTCTGGAATACGACCCTAGAAAGCTTTTCTCCCCTCACATAGGTACCTTTACAGCTAACCACAACAGCTGACTAGAGATGTCGCTTTAATCATTTTAATTTTTAATTATGATATTCAATTATTTTTGTGAAATTACTCTGTGCCTGGGAAGAGTTTAGACAAGCTTTCCATAGATTTCTCACAGATAGCGCTAAAGCAAAAAGTCGTTAAAAACTCGTATGGAGAGAATTCGTAAGGTCCGCTAGTTTGTTCCGTGCACAAAGTACGTTCTGTACGTTACGTCTGCATAAATCGGCGCGTTTGACATGATGATGGGCAATAGGAACGCACCCTTAGAAGTTAGGTACTGACAAAAGTAAATATTGATATAATAGTTTATGGTCGTTAGGTGTTTTGTTTCTCAAAGGCTCAAAATATGTACGTACACATATGCTCAGAGCCATCGCGATTATATTAGTCAGTCAAATGTAGTAGTTTAAAATTAAATATAAATTTTTTAGCAAATGTTGGGTATTATAGAAGTTTTATATATTTTATTTTTGATCAATTTATTAGTCTACTGTAATGCCAAGGATCATTGCAGTTCCGAAATCTGTAATGCCAGTAAAGAACATACGTTATGTAAATTTCAGGTAAAGAAGTGCGCACTAATGATCTAGGGCCAAATGGCATGATTAATTCCTAAGCTAGCTATGTAGGTAGGTTTGATATCTACTAACTTATAAAACATGTTTGTAATAAAACATATTTCTTTTGTAATTTTATTTTTAACATTTCTGTTTGTACATAGATCGATGCAAAACTTCCCCATGTCCCGTGTATGGGTAATGACTTTATGGTCACTATTCAAATTTTTTGTAGGTATTATTACGTGTCATACAAAGACTATTAAAAATTATTGTTATTAAAAATTTATGAAACTGCATTATAAAATATTTTATCCAAAGAATTTTTTTTATTGCTTGGTCAATATAAGTACGCTCTACGCCTAACATTCGTCATTTCATTCAAAAAACGGGGCGACATTTTTTCCATCATAAAGATTTGACGTTTCTAATGCCGTGAAGGTATGACATAAAAATGTTCACAATAATAATGTTTGTATCGAAGATGTGCAGGCTGACTTGAGGCGACTAGCGCTGGCCCACAGTATTACGTACATAGACCATTATTACTATGGCTCAGCTGTCTACAAACTTGACTTTTAGGATAATTTCGTAAAGACATAGCTCAAAAATCTTAAAAGGGTTCCGCCAACATGTAAAAAGAAGAATATTTTAGTACTGAGTGATGCCGAAAGAAAAAATACGTAGATATTTTATATTAAAATTTGAACGGAGACTAAAAAGTCGTTCTGTATAAGTATTACTTATTTTTCATTTTTGGGTTTCTTGCGTTTTCTTTTAGATGTTAATACCTACTGTTCTGTTTGTCTATCACATCATAAATAAATCGAATAAGCTCTTAACAGTACCTACCTTCTTTGTATTTTGTGCAGTCAGAAGACCCGGCGCGGCATTGCGTTGACTATGAGCAGACAATACGCACCGCGAAAGAGAAGCAAGCCATTTTGGATAAACTGAACAGCCGACGAAATAAGGTTGCTGGTGGAGAGATCCGGTCCCTACCTTCCGCCGACAGTATGATGAAATTGGTAAGTACCGAACTCTACGCTGAAATACTTCTGAACGCGACTTTCCGGGTCAGCAGGCCGAACAGGCAATTAAGCCTATAGGCTTTTTTTGGCCGTTGATCTTATGCGACATATTGTTATAAATAATATACACACAGACACACACAAAGATCTGTCTGCAACAATAATAATAAATAATAATAATAAAACGTTTATTGGAACAAAATAACAATATTTACAAAAACAATAAGTTTGATAACAACCGCAGTAGTCAGTTAGACTGTGTCGCAGCTATTAACGCCCATCTCCGGATAAGTTATAAAAGCTGTTCCTAATGAAGTACACAATATGATATGGAATATAACAACTTACTTCCTACGAATATTTCCTACAGAATTATTCGTAACGGTAATACTAATATTATATTATTAAAGAATTTTACAATAATCGTAACTTTTTTTTTTTTTAAAAGGCCGAGAAGCGATTATAAATACGTGGCGACCTAGAACCCTGCGATCAGTGCGTGTTAAATTTTTAGTCGTGGTTTGAGCAGTAATACACGCACTGTGGCACTCGTTAGATACTATTTTTATTTTTTAAGATTAATTGTTTTTTTTTTATGCTGACAAGAGTGTCCAGCAGCAAATTATTATTTAAATATAACGATGCCTCACTTTCTCAAACTCGTATCTTATAAAGAGTGATTATTCAGGAGATGGCAAAAGTTTCTATTTATTTTAAATTTCTTAATAGGGGTTTTAATTTGAATGTATTACTTTAAGAATAGATGAAAGCCAGTGTGTGAATATGAAGGAAATGTGATGTGAAATCAGCCTGCAAAATTTGTATATAGGTATAATCCATTTTATGCATTTCAGTAACTTTGTGCTTTAAGATACTAGTTTGAGAAAGTAAGGCGACGATAAATGTTCTAGTACTTTTCCTTCGTTTGCAGGATAACTTACCTATGTCATTCATTTAAGTATGTCTATTACGGATATGGAGATTTTCAGTTTATTTATTTAGTAGCAAGCTCAGTGTACATAAATCAGGATTTCTGGGTAGTTCTAATAATCAGACGTAGGAATTTGTACGTATAATTGCATACAGTACAATCAGTGTACGGTTTTCATAAACGTGTAAGTTCTTCGTTAAATATTCGCGCAGTTTGCAACGTCAAACACGTCATTCATGAAGGCGCCCCCTATTGGTGGGCGTAAGCACTACACGCCGTTACTTTCAAGCACTTTTCGACGTGCTCCACCTCAACAAGGCAAAAATGACCGGTGTTCTCTAAAATACATAAATTACCTAAAATCTCATGAGACCGTGAAACCTGGTGCTAAACAGATATGAACTTGTCCATAATTCAAAGCCTTGCCCTGCGGATCAAAGTATCCTCATCGTGGTGTCACCCAAATCGCAACAAGCGGTGCCGGCTAGCTAGCCGCCGTGATCCAGCAACTCCTGTATTTTCATCAACCAAATCAAGGTAAGTGGTGCTTTGTTCAGTGTTTGGCATTGACGGTGCAACCTGTAGGTACGGTTCTCATCTTCCAAGAGGAATCGCGAGACGGCTCATTGTGGAGCTACGTCTATCCTGCAGATGTATGGATCCTTACCATTTTGTTACCTTCATTCTTATACATCTTTTTTTGGCGACCGAACACGGACACTGGATTCTGTGTCCCAGAAAATACATGCAATTCTAGAAATTGTAAATTCGTATAACCTTGCAAAATAAGTTGGTACTAGCTACACTCGGCAACCCAAGCGCTTCGCTTCTTTTCAATTCGGTCGGGTTATAACCGGTATGTTTTCGTCAGTTTACGAATTGCAGTTTATCGTTTACAATAATTATAAGCAAATTCAAGTAAAGCTTACATACATATTCAATCTCATATAAAAATAACATTTCGATGTATGTAATTCATATTATTCTTTTGCTATAGTTGTAAAATCGTTGCAAAATTTAGAGAACAGAAACCGGCAATTTTATTTATTTTTACTTTTGCATTTCATCTTCTTTTTTATTGAAGTACAACAAAATATTCATAATTATTTGTGTTTTAACTTAGTTTGATTGGTAACTTAAACGAGATAAGTGCAACAACATATTCCAGTGCGAAAAATAACTGTTTTCTCATGAGCGAACGTAAACGTAGAAATGCAAGGTGTTTGTTTACGTTAATTTGAACAATAGTGAGTCGTAATTATCATCAGGACTCGAAGTTACTGTTTATAAGTGAGTTTTTTTTGAATATTTCGAACGTTTCGCTGCTCGTTGAGGTGGTGATCAGGTAAGTACCTGTTGAAGTGTGTTGTTGTTTGCAGTTTTCTTGATTGAGATTCTGTTGTTTGCCATTGACTTGGACGTAGTTTAGGGTGTACGAGGGTAACGGTCGTATGTATCGGTTTATGTTGTTATTTATGTTGAGCGTATCAACTTGAAACTTATTTGAATTGCGTTAATTTTCTTTTGCATTTTTGTTTATTGTCTTCAGTTTCGAAACAAAGACTAGGAGAAGTTCTATTTAAATACTGCCAAATAACAACATTTAAATATCTTTTGTTTGGTTCCTTATTACAAACAAATTTATAATATGAAGCGATCATGTAAATTAGTAAAATCAAAATCTTATGAAGTCGAAGCTCTCACTGAACGTAATTTACCAGCTTTGCGTAGAAAGCGAATGTACGTAGAAAGTGATGGGGTAACTGCATTTTAAGACCAGAAAGTGTATCTACTAAACTGCGCGTGGTCTTTGACGCCTCAGCTGAAGACTCCCGTAGGATTTCGCCGAATGACGCTTTACTCATAGGTCCGAAGTTACAAACGAACATTTTGGATATTCTTTTGCGTTTTCGTGTGCATTCTATAGTTTTCACTGCTGATATGCGACAGATGTACCGCCAAATTGTAGTTCAAGAGGCTGATCGAGATTATCAGCGTATCTTTTGGCGTTTTAAGCACACTGATCCAATGCAGGAATTTCGATTAAACACAGTAACCTACGGTATGTCTTCGGCACCTTATTTAGCATGTAGAACCATTCAACAATTAGTAGAAGACGACTCTAGTGACTTACCGTTGGCTCGTAGTACTTTGTCTTCAGGGCTGTATATAGACGACGTTGTCACAGGACAGCCAGATTTAAAATCAGCACTGACGGCCAAATGTGAAGTCATAACGCTACACAAAAGAGGACAATTCGAGCTCCGCAAGTGGGCTAGCAATTCGCCGGAACTTTTATCCGATTTACCTCCTGAGCATTGTCTTACTGATTTCGTCTCAATGGATATTGAGGACAATAATACTCTCAAGGTCTTAGGCCTTAAATGGAATCCTTTAAAGGATTCATTCGTTTTCGACGTGAAGCTAATGCCTCGCGAGTGCTCTAAACGCACTACTATCCTTAGTGAGCTTGCACGTATTTTTGACCCTCTTGACTTTCTAGCACCTGTAACCCTTCTCGCTAAGAGTTACATTCAAAAACTGTGGTTATTAGGCATTGGATGGGATGAGACTTCTCCCAGTGAAATGGTTCTTTTGTGGAAACGCTTTTGCGATCAAATTCCCATAATCAAAACCCTCGAAATTCCTAGGTATGTTTTTCTAAGGACATGGTTTCTTGTGAGATTCACGGTTTCAGTGATAGTTCACAGATCGGCTATGGAGAAGTAGTGTACTTGCGTATCTCAACCGCCTCTGACATCAGAGTATTCTTCATTTGTGCTAAATCTCGCGTCTTCCCAACTAAACGAGTCAGTCTTCCTCGTTTAGAACTGTGTGCCGCTGTATTGCTAGCTGACATCATCAAATACGTTAAAGAATTGTATTTCCATCTGCTCAACATTACAAACACATTCGCATGGTCAGATTCCACAGTTGCTTTGTCATGGATTCGTGCTCCTTCTTCTCAGTGGAAGACTTTCGTGGCTAATCGCGTAAGTCACATCCAAGACGCGGCTCCTAATACTGAATGGCGTCATGTGCCTACTAGTGAAAACCCTGCGGATACCGCATCCCGAGGCCAATTTCCCGCTGATTTAGTCCACAGTACTTTATGGTGGGCGGTGTAGTATAAGAATTGTTATTGTTAAGCACCATGTATTTACATCTATGTTATTACTTATTATATTCAGTGTTAATCAAGCATCGAGTTGTCTCATTCGTCTCCGTCGTACGCTCTCCCTACATGGCCACCATGCTATTTTTGGGATTAGTGCCCGGTTACAGTTTGGCTCAACGGACTTAATGTATATTATTTATTCTAATCGACACTTAACGGACGTGGATGTAAATTTTAGTGCCAAAAATGTGTAACTCAAAAATACCTGAAAAACCGGAAGTCACCGCACAAGTCGGTGTTAACAACCAAATTACAAACAATCATGTCGTGACCAATGTCGGGATCATTTCGTGGTCCATGTGGCAATCATCATAATACTGTTATTGGTTGGAGCTATCATAATGATCCGGTATTGTGTGAAGTGCTTCAATAAAAGGGTGCAGCGAGGCGTTGATGCAGGTATAATACGGTTAAACAAAATGTAAATAGGAGCGAGCATTCCTTGTAACGACGACGACCCCGATTCCTTATGAAGAAACCTGAGTCGCGAGATGTTCCTGTCACGAAGCAAATTGCTTTGATAAACCAGTATACTAGTAAGTGAATACCCCATTCAATATCAGTGTAAGTGTGGTAAAAATGATGAAAATTTAAGTGCGAAAAAAAACCAATTTTTTTTATTAAATGGTTATACCACATTATAATATGTACATTATAGACTTTCAGTACATATTATGAATAGTATAAAAATATAGGTAAGTGCGATTTTATGTATGTCAGAATATCTGGAAAATTTAAATGAAGAGCTTTCAAAGGTTAGAACCTACTTAATTAAAATTGGACCTAAAAGTCGATGTGGAAAAATAATTGAAACGAAGCTTAAAGAGGCAAACGAATTATTAGAACAATATACCACTTATATAGATGCTATTACTAAGGTATATCATTTAAGAAGTAAACAAGAAAAAATTTTAATTGATAAATATTGTCAGGATTTTAAGTTATTGTACAGTAAAGAATCTTTGCAATATAAAAAAAGAAAGTGAAGAAATAATATTAAAATGGCAACGTTCGATCTCAAGGTCGCGTTAAGTCTTTTGCCAGTCATGACTGACAAAGAAGAAAATACGAAAGAATTAATTGATAGTATTGAGTACTATGCCACTACCTTAGATAACGAATCGAATAAAAAATTAATTTCTTTTATTTTAAAAACCAGGCTGTCTCAATCGTGTAAGTTAAAATTATCTAGTAAATACGAGAATATATCAGAATTACTGACCGATATGCGCAAACAATTATTACCAAGAAAATCAGCATCGGCTGTACAAATGAAACTCCAAACGGGTTAGCAAAATGAACGCACTGTTGCTGATTTTGGCAAGGAAATTTCTGAATTGTTCGCGGATTTAACTATTACCCAATCGGACGGAAATTCTGATCATTGTAATGTTCTTCCCGTGTGGTGCCGGCCTAGAATAGCACCACCCCCTTCTTGTCCTGTGGGTGTCGTAAAAGGCGACTAAGGAAAAAATTGTCAGAAGAAGACGGGCAGCAGCGTCTTCTACCCATCTTGACCAGAACTGCGATCGCCAACCCGCCTGCCAAGCGTGGCGATTATGGCACAACCCCCCCTATGATATACACACCAAAGAATTGGCCCCTAGTCCCCGGCAGTCCTGCTCTTCCTAGTCACGGTAGCGGCTTTGGAAACAGGGCATGGGGTGCGAAGAATCCCCGGGGGAGACCCGGCTACCATCAACGACGACGACTGGACCTGGCAACCTACAACACGCGCACATTGAGGACCGACGCAAAGCTCACAGAATTGGAAGAAGCTATTAGTAAGTTACGCTGGGATATCATTGGGCTATCTGAAGTCCGAAGAGAGGGGGAGGACTCGATAATCCTTAATTCCGGCAACTTACTGTACTACCGGGAGGGCGACCAACAGTCCCTTGGCGGTGTCGGGTTTATTGTCCACAAGTCCCTTGTTAACAACGTGATTTCCATCGGAAGTGTGTCGACCAGGGTGGCATACCTGATACTTAGAATATCAAAACGATATTCGTTGAATGTCATTCAGGTTTATGCTCCGACCTCGACACACCCAGATGACGAAGTGGAGGCTATGTATGAGGAGATCTCAAAAGCCATGCATAGCTACAAAACCCACTACACGATTGTTATGGGGGACTTCAATGCAAAGTTGGGAAAGCGTTGCGGTGATGAACTGAGAGTGGGGCAATTTGGAGTTGGACAGCGGAACGCCAGAGGCCGGATGTTGGTTGATTTCATGGAAAAGGAGAACCTCTATTTATTTATTTATTTATTCATGGAAAACCAACAGCTTTACAACAAATTAAAAAAAAACATCAACAAATACATTACAGCCAATTAAAGGTTTTCGCTTATAATAACATAATAACTAAACAATGAGCACTCAGAAAGTAGTCACAACAAATAAAATTATTACGTAACAAATACACTTAATATATACTTATATATATATCTACATATACATACATACATACACCCTTATATACATATGCATGCATGCACGCAATGCAAATCACATATATCCCAATACCTGCGCCACGAAATGATCACCCTTTAAACAAACGCGTCCACAAGTTTACGCTTTAATGATTTCGAATTAGAATTGAATATGTCAATATCAAGTCCAATCCGGCCCAACACATCGTTTAAACTCTTGCAAGCCCTATACAGAAAACTGTTTTGTCTATATTTAGTCCTCGCCAGCGGAACCGCAACAGGACGATAGTATCTCATGGAACGCGTAGGTATATTAAACACAATACTACTCAGTAATTCGGGACAGTCGACATCACCATTTATGATGTTTAACAAATACACTAAATCAGCAATATTCCGGCGAGTAATAAGAGGCAATATGTGTTGATCCTTACAAAGACGTAGATAATCGATTGAATTAAAAGACTTGCCCATTTTATAACACAAGATTTTCATAAATTTTTCCTGGACTCGTTCAACTCTGTCTACATAAATTTGATAACATGGATTCCAAATTTGGGAGGCATATTCCAATTTACTACGTACATACGCACAATACAATACTCGGAGAGTTTTAGGTCTTGAGAAACTGACCGAATTCCGCATTATGAATCCAAGTGACTTAATAGCTTGAGAAACAATAGCATCTACTCGTATATGAGTATCAAAAATTAGCTTAGAATCATGAATGACCCCTAGATCTTTCATCATTATCTTATGTTGAAGATTAATGTTTCTCAAGCTATACGAGGTACATATATTATCAAACTTACGCGAAAAAGTCATTGAGAAACATTTAGAGGGGTTAAGGTCCAGCTTATTGCTAACACAGTAGTCGTCAAGACGAGATAAATCAGATTGAAGAGCAGTAGCGTCATCAACTGAAGAAATCTTGGCATATATTTTCAAATCATCTGCGAAGCTCAGCAGATTAGAGAAGCGAAAGCAATCACCAATGTCGTTAACAAAAATATTACAAGGCAGCGGCCCTAATAATGAACCTTGTGGCACACCGCTAGGTATAGTAACCCAACTGGATATATAATTATTAACGACTACCGCTTGAGATCTATTATTAATATATGAAGAGAACCACCGCAAAAGATCACCTCTGATACCAATTTTGGAAAGTTTAGTCAAAAGGATAACATGATCAATTCTATCAAATGCTTTACTGTAATCAGTATAGATGACATCAACTTGGTATCCTTTATCCATAGACGAGGAGACGTATTAATTTAACAATACTAGATTTGATACTGTAGACCTTTTCCGAAGGAAGCCATGTTGAGTATGACTAAATGAGTTTTTCAAAGCCGAATAAACTTGAGTATAAACAATTTTTTCCATCACCTTAGACAAAACACACAATTTAGAGATGGGTCTATAGTTTACATCTGTTTTGGAACCTTTCTTTAGGACAGGGGTAATAAACGCGGATTTCCAAAGTGCTGGTACATAACATTCTGCAAAAGAACGTTGAAACAGTAATTTAACTGGCTTAGTAATGCTGTTAGCACAGTTAATTAAAAATAGCGCTGGTAAGTGATCAGGACCTGCAGATTTACTTGGATCAAGTTTGCGTAATAAGTCAGTAAGCATATCAGAATTAATACTTATGCTTGCAATATCAGAAATTGTATTACAAGCGTCAGCCATTACCAAACAAGAACCAATGGATGGTGTAGTAGCTAAAAAGGTTGTTTTAAAATAGTCCGAAAAGGCATTACAAACATCACTGCCAACACTAGTGCTACCATATCGCAGACTACTAGGAATACCATGAGAGCTGGAGCGAGATTTAATAAATGACCAGAACTGTTTGGGATGTTTTGCAATATTATTTTTCATGGAGTCTGTGTAGTTCAAAAAACATTGCTTTTCCAGTAATTTCACCCGAGCCCTCTGATGGTCAAAAGACAACATATCGCACTTGTTGCCATATATTTTATACCTACGGTGATACTTGTATTTTTCTTTTATAGCTTTCTTTAGAGATGATGTATACCAAACAGGAAAAGTATTCGAAGTAACAAGCTTATTAGGAACATATTGTTCTCTAATTTGTCGAAACTTAACATAAAAATATTCAACGCATTGATCCAATGTACGATTTAAAAATTCTCTATCCCAGTCAATTGTTGATAGTTCGGCATTTATTAAATCATAGTTGGCTTTATTATAAAAGTATTTAATAGTTGGAGGTGACTTTAAACTGGTAACTGTAATAAATTGTATAGAAATAATTAATGATTTATGGTATTGATCAATCGGTACAAGTGCATCTACGCATTCTGAGACTATTAATGTGTCATTACATAGAACAAGGTCCAAAATCTTATTATCTTTATTCCTTACACCGTTGTATTGGTTTAGGCTATGTAAATTTAATTCATCTGCCAATATGCACTCATCGCGAGAAGAATAATTAGATGATGTATAAAAATTATGGTTTAAAGACCAACA